GTTGGAGACACTCCGGGCCATGGGTTGGGTGCTGTGTTTGGAACTATCAAATCTGTCTCGAGAGCTATCGTTTCGAAATTGGGGCTTCTCAATTATTCGTACCAAATTAGCCTATTGAAAAATATGGATAATTGGATAGATAATGCAAGAGATCTTATAGAGGAGGGAAAAGTAAAGATCTTTATTGATCACATTTATCCCTTTGGACAACTAATGGAAGCTGTGGAACGATTAGAGAGTGGGAAAGCAGAGGGGAAGGTTATCTTGGAAGTTGCGAAACCAGAGAATTGATCAATACTATCACCAGAAGTCTTCCTTGTTTGCTATCAAGGGGGGGGGGGCTTTTTCCTCAATTTCAAGAGCTAGCTATAGTCAGTAGTGTTTAGTAATGTATTCTTTTTTATGCTACCAAATGTTCCAAAATCCCGATTTGGTATTGAAACAGGCGACTTCTCTCAGGCGAGCTCTGTTTATGGCGGGTTCTGTTTACGGAGAGTCCTGCAAGGCGATTTCTGCCAGGCGACTTCTGCTTATGGAGAGTCCCGCCAGGCGACTTCTGTTTCTTATTCAAATAAGGTTCAAGAATTAAAACGTCAACTTTGTTGATTTCAGTATAAATCTATCTACAATGTAAAATATACATATACTCATCAAACCCCAATCATCAAACATCATCACTTCGTAAAACCGTAAACCGCTTCATCACCCACATCACTTCATTATACATTATACAATCATCAACTTAATAGCCCTCAAAAAATTCAGCAATTTCTTCTCCACTATTTAATAAACTTCTTATCCAACAAATCATTCAATTCATTCAATTTGTCCTCATTCATGTCATGGTTTGAATTTCTTCTTCCTTCGCCGGATTTGAACATATGATAGTCTTCCTTATTCAACTCATCACCTGGTTGGCCCCAATTATTTTTTCCAGCTCCATTCTTTTTAACCTTAGTTGGGTTTGTGTTTGAGTAACCGTTATGAGTAAACCATTTTGGTTCTTGAGGTTTTCCTTCTTGAACTGTCCATTTCTTTGTCTTTGACATAATGCCTGAAAATTGTTGTTGTTAAAATACGGGTGTTTTTTTTATATCTATTAGTTATATATATTATCTATAGATAAAGATAAATATAAAACTAATGAGTTTAACAAGTTGAAATGGTGAGAAAGGTGGGAGAAGTGATCCTTAATTTATAGTCGAGTCACACCGATTAAGGGGAAACCTTAATAGGAAAAAAAATAAATAGGCTAAGCTAAGAAAGAACTTAGGGGGGAGAAAAGAGGAAAAACAAAAAAAAAAGGGGGGGGAGGAGGAGATTACGAGCCATTGACCCAGTTGATTCATTGTGTTCCAATTGTGGTTGTACGGTGGCAGTGATGATGTGGTGGTGTGGTGGTGCTTGCAGACTCTAGTCATTTAGATTGTTCTTTTTTTTACATTGTTCTTAGATATTATTTATCTTTTACTGTGGGTACAAGTAGTAATGGTAGTTACACCTATTGTACATACCGTATCGCAACATAAAGTGTCTGATATTGAAACCGGATATTGAGTTTCGGTTGTTGGGTGTCTGGCTAATTCCTCTTTTTGTCTGTCTGTTGAGTCATGGGATCACACAATTTTCTTTTTTTACGTCTTATCGTATTATTACTCCCTGAGAAAAGAAAAAAAAAAAAGGAGGGGGCGGTCATTAATTGTTGAGCCATCCAGGTAATAGAATATGTGTTACATTTGGTAGCAAGATGTAAAGGAGTAGTAGTCGTATCAGTAGTAGCAAATATACTTAACTCCTATTATGTCATAGAAAGAATGTTGAGCTGTTCTTTTTTTTTTATCGAATGATAAGAAAATTTAACAGACACTAGAAGAGAACTCATTCCTTATTTTTTACAAAGCCAGCTACCCAGCTCCCTATAACGTGTGACGCAAAACATTGCCACCAAATGAGTCAAAAGCTCTAATTTGTTGTATATTTCTCTAATATCAGTCACCAATTTAGCTATATCTTTATTCTCTCTTTGTCTGAGTCTTTTAGATTCTAGATTCTTCTCTTTCTGTAAATAGTGGGGCACAAGAAAAATGGTCACACGAGATACCTTGTCGTGTGATATGGCTTATCAGTTGGTAGCATTGCCGCAAAACTTGTTTGTTTGTTTGTTTGTGCATATTGATAGGTAGCGTTTTTTATATTGAGAAACGGATAATTATACACCTACTAACCCTTTTCACTCCAGCTGTTGGTATCACTGAACCATCTCTCTTATAAAGAAAACATAAATAGGTTAATAATCCCTGTAGAGAATAGATTTGAAGAAGTAAAGGGTTTCATACCTCCTATATCCTACCAACTTTTATGACACTATCGAGCGAAGCGAGATAGTGGAGCAGCACTGACTACATAGAAACTATTTATCGTGTCTACTCCATTGACTAGACTCGCTCTACTAATGTCGCCCTTATCTAGACTCGCTCTACTAGTGTCGCTTCGCTCGCTAGTGTGCCTTTTGTTTGATATGCGCTACCTGCTACAAATTTTATTTTTCCATTTTGCAGCCATTCCATAACTTAAAAATAAAACCCCCCTAGAAGATATGAACACGGGTTGAAATCACAAACTTTTCCAAACATTTTAGATGAACCCAGCAGTACACTTTTAACCCTTCATTCTTCCATTTTACAATTCATCATCCGTAAAACTTTAATATACAACGCTTAATTTTCCACCACAAGTTCCGGTCATTTTTAAATGAAGCTTTTAACAGTTTTTAATACAGTTGTTTTATTTTTAACCACTTGCGTACTTTCCAATAAAGCACCTAAAGTCAAGAAAAATCCCACCAATATAGTAGCAGTTGCCGATTTCCCCTTTGGTGGAAACAAAGATGTAAAAGGGAACGTTGTATTTACGGCATCTCAAGGCAAATATGTTAATGTTCACGTTGATATGACTGGGTTCCCTGAAGATTGTGGCCCTTTTTACTACCACATTCATGAAAGGTCTGTACCTGAAAACGGAAATTGCGAAGCTTGCGGATTACACTTCAATCCGTATGAAGCTAATGCCGACTGTTCAAGTCAAAAAAATGACGGATATTGTCAAGTTGGTGATTTATCGGGAAAGCATGGAGTGATCAATTCCACTTGCTATGATGCCAAATATACCGATGAATTTTTAAGCTTGAATAAAAAATCAAAGAGCTATATTGTTGGTAAAAGTGTAGTTTTTCATTACCCCAATATGACTAAATTGGCATGTGCCGACATTGAATTGGCTAACGATTTAAGAATTCAAAGTTTAATTGATGACTATATACAAAGCGATGACACCGTGCAAATTAATGAGTTGAAACAATTGTCGTTTGCCGATCAAGACTACCATTTTGACGAATTGGAAGCATTGCTGATGGAAACTTATGATAATGACCCTGAAGGTGAAACTGCTACGAATGTAAACATAAATGCAGCTGATGATAATGATAAAGGAGGTAGTACCTTGAAAAACCTTATTCAAGATGTTAAAATCTTACCTCAGAAACTAGTCAACAAGACCAAAAACCACTGGTCAAAACAAGATGAAGATGAGTTTGAAAAGACAAGATTAGAAAGAATCCGGGCTCAGAATCTTTACAAACAAGGTGAACCAAAATCAACTTCGAAATTGGACAAATATCAAAATTACTCAAACGTGTCTGTTCATGGGATCTCAAGTGATTGCGCTAACAACGCAGGTTCAATCTCTATCTTGGATACAGTGTTTGGTGGATTTATAACTGCGTTATTTGCAGTGATATTGCTTTGAAATAGCAAACATTCCTTCCTTTCTTTCTTCCCGCATCCTACTTTCTCACACACCACAATAACTATTTCATCTTTTTTTTTTTTTTTACTTTCTTATTTGCTTCTCACCCATTGGACGTTTCTTCCTGTGGTCAAAGACTATAATAAATATACATTGTCATCATGATCATCATCAACATCATTAAATTTATGCTTTCGGTTTCTGAACAATTTTTAGTTAGTTAAAAAACGAGAACTACTTGTTTCATCCTCTCAATACCGAATAATCTTATACAATCGATGATTAATCCTTTTCCTTCATCAGATAACTGAGAAAACTTAACTTTTTTAGATCTACCTCCAATAAGTAATCTTGTTTCAAAGTCACTATCAAGAGCTCCACTTTGAAACCAATAAAGTATCTGAGGCAATGGGAAAACTCCAGGAATTACATTCGGTAGATTATACTGATTTGTTCTTGAAACGGAGTATTTGTTGGCTAATTCATTTCCTGCTTTATTCGCAATTATTTCAACATCACAAGACCCATACAATTTCTCGGCAACATTAGTAAACCCATCTTTTACATGTCCCTCATTTGGGTACTGATTATCCGGCATAAAGAATTCTCCTCCTCCTTTCTCTCCTTCTCCTCCTCCTTTGTTACCCCTGTCAGCCTCACCAATCACAAATAACCTGCCATTTTGAATAAATTTCCTAACCTCTGCTAGAGGATAATACGTCTCTGTACACAAATCCAAGATTTCGCCACCAAATTGATCTTTATACTTCATCTTGGGACAATCCTCAACATAGTACCCAAGGTAATACCAATCATATTCTAATTCATTGCACATTTGAATTTCCTTGATTCCCAGTATTGTACCCAATGATAAATACGCATAATCAGGATCCCATATAAAGTATATTGAAGAAATACCACTCGGTAAAAAGTCGAGAACCGATATGGCTATTAACTTGCCATGCAAATAGTAGCACTCGTGAGTTGGTCCAATTCGTTTACTTTGTCGGCAATAATCTGTACCAGCTGATTTATTTTTGGGCCAATTTTCAATTTTCAAATTTTCCCAATCTTGAGGTTTTCCTTGCACTTCATTCCCTGAAAAGGGTGTATTACAAAGAAACCTAATAAATGATTCCTCGTCAACATCATCGGGATCATCATTATGTACTCGGACTTGGTATCTTTTATATAATTCAAACTTCTCCCTAGAAAAGCTCGACGGCTCAAACTTTGTATAAAAGTCCTTAGATTTCAAAATTGCCTCGATTAACCTACCCAAATCAAAAGTATTCTTGGCCAATGGTGATAATTCACTAGCTAGCGGACATATAGCATTAATGAACTTATTGACAATTTTCCGTTGTTTCTTGGAAATTTGAAAGTGCAAGAAGTTGGTTCGAATCGTATATAGCCGACAACACGATCTAAGTAGATCATTCTTATATAGAAAAGTCCCCGATCGTCTAAAACCTTTATTTATAAGCTCGTCATACTCTTGACACGTCATTTCCCAAATCGACATCCCTATCGTCATGGATTCTTTCACCAAACCACCAAAACCAGCCCTTCTTCGACTTTCACTTTCCAAAGCATAATGGTCTAGCTTAGAATCCTTACAATACCCACAATGTCCATCTGGAATATAGCTCGGTGGCGTTACCTTCATCCCCAAACCAAAATCTCTTCCATTCCTTTATTCCAAGGCATCATCTCCAAGGTTGAAAAAAAAAGTCAAGAGAGAAGGTTCCGAAAAATTACAAATTCGTTATCAAAGCATCACTTTATTCTTTATAGAATCATTGTTGTTGACTACACCGGGGTGTCCCTTTCGGCTTTTACTTGTTGATATTAGGTTTAAAGAGTGTGTGCTATATGGATAGTCACTTTTTTTGTAATTTGAAAGTGTAGCTATATCATGAGTTCAGTTAAACAAAGTCCCGTTAAGAAACAGTCTGCTGCTGGTGCTGCTGGTGGTGCTGCTGGTGGTGCTGCTGAAGACAATCCAAAGAACACCGATGCGTTATCGGTTGGTGAATTTGATGATGATCCGTCACTTTTGTCTGATCCAGAAGAGTATCTAGAAGAAAATGAGTCGTTGGATATGAATTTATCCTCAGGTGATCAAAAAATATGGCTAGTCAAACTCCCCAGATATTTGATGGATGAATGGAATAAGCCAGATGTACAGAAAAGTGGCAATACATTGGGCAATGTCAAAATCAAAAAGGACCCAAAAGGGAAGCTACAGGTGAAATTGATCCTAGATAAGAAATTACCCAATATTCCTCAAGAGTACGATATCAATATGTTGAACACGCAGGTTCGAAATACCTATGCATTTACTGAGGAGAACCTCAAGAAATTTAAACAGGAATTAACTGAAGTTAATCAAGCACCCAACCAACCAGCCTTGAAAGAAGTGGATGAAAAAAAGAAAAAATTCCAACCAAGGCAAAAGTTTAAGTTCTATAGAGTACAGAAAAATGGAGAAGAAGGAAGCTCTACTCGAAAGTATATCCCGTTTGTTAAAACGATACCTAAAAAGACAAGCTTACTAGGTAAAATTTGTCATGATTGTTCAGTAGTACCGCTGAAAAACGATCAGAGTTATGCCGCTTTACTTAAAAACAGAGAGTCCCTAGTTAAAGCCCCTGAGCGACCAAAAGTAACCTTTTTAAACGAAATACCTGGTGTTATTCAATCCAATGCTGGTCCATCCATCAAGGGGAACAACACCTCTGTTTTCCTTAAATCAACACAGCCAAAGAACAAATCCGACGGAAGAGCAACAAGAATGCCAAAAAAGGATCTTTTGGATTTATTGTTTCGATTATTTGAAGAATACGAGTATTGGTCGATGAAAGGTTTGAAAGAAAAGACAAAACAACCGGAATCGTATTTGAAAGAGTCTTTGGATTCGATTGCAACTTTAATTAAAAAGGGTCCATACACTTCGAAATATGCATTGAAGGCGGAATATAAGAGATTGAGAGATGCAGAAAAAGCAGCTAGATTGGGACTTGATGAGGAACAGGATAAGGAGAATGAAGATGATGACGTTGAAGACGAGGATATGGAAGAAGTTGTTTAGCATAGTTTTATACGCGATTTTGAATCTTGTTGATTTACTTTTGCTTTTCTGGGTGAGGTGAGTGAGAAAGTAAAAGACGTTTTTCTTACATGTCACAGTCAACTCTACATCATCAGAGGTATTGATGGCTAGTACGGGAGGAGATAGCCAGCGAAACGGCTGTTCCTAGACTAGGGCAATCTACAACATAGTCCTTCATTTTTCAGTCCTCAAGTACCCCCACCCCACTCACATATGCTCTCTCTCTCTCTCTCTCTCTCTCTCTCTCTCTCTTTCTCCTTGTCCCTGCTACTTTTTCTCCCCCTCTATTTCCTTGTCTCATCTTCCCTCTCTCTGTATCTTTCTCTTTCCTTGTCTCGCCTTCCCTCTCCATGTATCTCTCTCTCTCTCTCTCTTTCTCCAGTTCTTACTTTTTAATTTTCAAAATTATATTATATTAAAAAACACATTTACATAACTCCTTTACAAATTCTTAATATCCAATGTAGGTGGTAATGATTGCTGTAACTTCTTGGCTTTTGCGGCATCGTTAACAACTAAAGTATACTGGTATCTGGAGCCTCTAACCTTGAACTTTGTTTGTTTGAATTTTTTACCATTGGCATTAATCTTGCTGTTTACCTTAACAATAGCTGATTTCACGTCTGATCTTCTTGCTAATTCAACAAATTCTTTAATATCTTTGATTTCTCTGGCCATTGTGTATGTCTATGTATGTATATCTGTATGTATATGGTTCTTGGTAAGAGCCTGAGTAAATGCTAAATCTTCAAAGGTTAATTTGATAATTTATTTTTCACCCATTTGGTGATTGCGAAAAATCGCGGATTAATTTTTTTTTCAACAAAGAGGGACGTTTTATCACGTGTGTCTAATTAAATGTAGGGTATAACCCTGTTGCCTAACAGCACCAGCACCACCGGCACCAGTAAACCAGACCAAGCATTAGCTACTAGTTTTTATCAACTTCGTTATACTGGGTCAATTTCGCATCGATTTCTTCTTGACAAAGCCCCTCTTCTCTGATTGAAACTTTTGGCTCACGCGCAAGCACGGGTTGAGAAACTGGTTCAATGATTTCTTTTCCCTTGGTTTGCTCCTCCTCCTCCTTCTCTTTGGTTTGCTTCAATTTCTTTCCATGGTGCTTCTTTCCTGTATGTTGCTCCTCCTCTCCTCCTCCTCCTCCTCCTCCTCCTCCTTCTCCTTCTCTTTGGTTTGCTTCAATTTCTTTCCATGGTGGTTCTTTCCTGTATGCTGCTCCACTATCTCGCTTTGCTCGATAGTGTTGCTGCTCAAAGGCATCACTCTGTATTCTCTTTCTTTGAAATTGATCAACCTTTTAACACTGATAACCCATCTTCTTGTAGACTCGCCAACCATGATATTACTGGTGCTATGGGTACCGGCAATTTTCAGACTTGCGCTTCTTGCATGAATTCCAACATTAACGACTCCAATTGGCCAACAAACGTTCCCAATACTCAATTGCAAATAACTTTCATTTGCTTTGTTGAATTGGTTAGCTTGAAGATGGTAGATGATAGTCGATAAAGATATCAACATTTCGTTTGATAATTTGTCACTTCTTAGCTTGTACAATAGTTTGATTATTCCAGTTTTGGTTTCTTTGAGTAAATACTCATCATCATCAGATTTATCCTTTAATTTATCCCATTCGTTTATCAACGTCTTTAGATAAACTCTAATTTGAACTCTTAGTTCATCACGATGAGATTCAATGTTCATTACTGATTCGAGCTTAATTCTTTGTTTTTCGGGATCTTCGTAGTAACATCTCTCCTTATTCACCCAGTCAGCATACTTTTGATTCTGTAAATCAAGCTTGAGCAAAAAATGGAGTCTCTTTAGTTTTTCATTCTTTGTCAAGCTCTTGTCAAGTTCGTTATACTGGGTCAATTTCGCATCGATTTCTTCTTGACAAAGTCCCTCTTCTCTGATTGAAACTTTTGGCTCACGCGCAAGCACGGGTTGAGAAACTGGTTCCTCGTATATATCAATGATTTCTTTTCCCTTGGTTTGCTCCTCCTCCTCCTCCTCTTTGGTTTGCTTCAATTTCTTACCATGGTGCTTCTTTCCTGTATTACCCGTTTTGGTAATTTTATTAATTTTCCGTTTCTTATTTATTTCCTTTGATAAAAGAGATGAAAAGTCCATAATTACTCAGTAAAATTAGGGGTGAGATGACTTGCCGAGTTACTAGGTTTAACAGAGATCCTAATCCTGTCCATTTGGCTCTAAACCTCAACAGTCCAAGCCTCTAAACCTCAACAGTAAGTCGAGTCTCTGTTGTTACTCTAAAGCCTCTGCCACTAAAAAGAATCTCTCACTTGGCACTTTTCCCTTAACATTCTCCCTTTACAATTATTCTCTTAACATTCTCCCTTAATAATTCTTCCACACTACAATTTCTTCATATGAACAAAAGGAGCAGAAAAAATAAAATACCCCAATATTCTCAAGTGGAGTTGTTTATAAAAAGTAAGGACTGGCCCAACAACTCGGTAAAGAGTTATTAAAGGCAAACGTGTCGCGACACAGCAGCTAACCCCCCCAGTACCCCGTGTATATTCATCTCATTTATCTATTGGCAGTGTCTTATTCTCGCAATTACCATACAAATATATTCAATACTCAGTTAATATACTCAATATACTCTGTATAATTCAATATACTCTGTAAAATTCAATATACTCAGTTATTACACTACAACTAAATTCAATATACTCAGTAAATTACACTACAACTAAATTCAATACTCAGGCAATTTCAATACTCTGTGAAATTCAATACTCAGTTAAATTTCAGGTTGGTTAATTTTCTGGTTAATTTTCTGGTTAATTTTCAGGTTAATTTACAGGTTAATTTTCAGGTTAATTTACAGGTTGATTTACACTAATATACCAATTCTCTCCTCTCTGGCTCAAAAGATATGTCTACTTCTGATACTGCCAATGCAAAGTCATTAGACGCAGAGGGAGAGGCACATTCAAGCACAAATGATACATATACGGCTGAAGCTCCAAGCTCAACTACGGCAACGGAATTAAGGGCTAAATTTTCAACTACAAAATCATCTAAAGCTAATGCTACAACTACAAATACAGCTACTCCCCCGGGATCATCCAATCTCTCGAAACCCCCTAGGACAAGAAAAACGCAGTCTTCGCCGCTATTGTCGTCAACACCGCCGCTGGTATCAAAAGCACTAGTCAATGCCTACCCTTATTTAATAATCATAAACAAAATTTTGTCAGTTGCTACATGGACCAATGACAACTTTTGGGTGAACATTGTTGTTATATCCATATATGCTCTCGTGGTGTTGTATTTCGAAAACTTGGTAACGTGGCTTGGACATTTGATCATTGCAGCAATAATTACTCTATACGCCTTGTTGAACAACAAAATCATTCAAGAAGCAAACTTACATCCAACTTTGGATGAAGTCGTACAAGCATTGAACTCAACTTGTGTTAAAGCCGATATGTTGTTGTTGCCAATTACTTCACTTTCCTTGACTGCTCATGACATCAAAAGATTATTGTTCACCACTGTATTCTTAACCCCTGTATATTTGATAATCACATTTTTATTCATCAAGCCAAGGATCGTTTTGTTATTTACCGGGATATTCATAATGACTTATCATTCCTCATACTCAATTGTGATTAGAAGAATTGTATGGAAAATAAAGTTTGTGCGCTTGGTGTTCTTCTACTTAACTGGTTTGGACTTGTCGCAAACTAGGAATCATTCACTATTTGCAGCTGCTTTTGCTAAAGTTCAAAGTAACAATGCTGAGAATCTTGGTAATGAGGCATCAAAACCAGTGCGCTTTACTTATGTTATTTATGAAAATCAAAGGAGATGGCTTGGTATTGGCTGGACTAGTAACTTGTTATCCTATGAGAGAACACCATGGACAGATGAATTTCTCAATGAGAGCAGCTCAATTGATACTTTCAAACTTCCAAATACTTCAAACAACAGCGACATTTCACTAGTGGGGTCAAATATGAATGGTGCAACTTGGAGATGGGTAGACAAAGCATGGAGATTGGATTTAACCAATGACGGCGCAATCACATTACCAGCGTCAAAGCACTCCAAAACAACTGCAAATCCAACAGCAGACGAAGGCTATATTTATTACGACAATTTGTGGAAAAAACCCTCAACTGAAGATACATTTTCCAAATATACCAGAAGAAGAAGATGGATTAGAACTGCAGAATTAGTATACGAGAATGCCCCTAACCAAGGAGGTGTGTCAACGGATACGACAAAATTGACAAGTTCTGGTGATTCGGTGAAGGCTACAGGTACAGATTCAAGGAAAAACTTGAGATTTGCTGCTGACGTCTCGGTGAAAGACGATGATGAGAAAAAGGAGAAGGAGAAGGAGAAGGAGAAGGAGAAGGAGAAGGAGAAGGAGAAGGAGAAGGAGAAGGAGAAGGAGAAGGAGAAGGAGAAGGAGAAGGAGAATAAATTGGAAACGGAGTTGACCGATAAAAAGAATCTATAGGTTTTTCATTTTTTCTTTTCCTTTTCCTCTCCATTTTTACATACTTACATTACTTTAAACAGTAAAGGCCCCTCTTTTTCAGCCCCATTCTCTCTCTCTCTCTCTCTCCCCCCCCCCCCTTGTAAGTTGTAGAGTATTTTGAATCTATAACAATCGTGCATAATCAATTAAGAATGAGCTGATTTATCTCAACAATCTGTACAGTCGGATGTTTTCGGCGTAGCTTAGTTATTGGTTATTACTTCGGCGATCTCCGAACCACTAACCAATTTTTTAACCGCGCAAGTTTACTAATTTTTCAACCAAAGTGATTCACGATAACGAAATTGATACGGAATTAGTTTATAAATAGCGAGCACTGGGCTCTTTCTTTTCTCTTTCTTTTCTCTATTTCAACCTGTAGACAAGAAGAATGTCAGAATTGTTCGATAGCTCTTACGGAAAAGCCAACGTCAAGTTTCTCAAGGTCAAAAAGGACCCATCAGATCCCCAACATCAGGATGTTCTTCAAGCTAACGTGCAAGTCTTGTTAAGAGGTAAATTTGACAAATCGTATACAGACGCTGACAATTCGTCAATTGTTCCCACGGATACGGTCAAAAACACAATTTTAGTCGAAGCCAAGACTCATAATGTATGGCCAATTGAATCATTTGCCGCTCATTTAGCTAACCACTTTACATCCAAATATGCTCAAGTTGAAGGTGTTGAAATTTCCATTGTTCAACAACTATTTACTAGGATCAAATTGAATGGGAAAGAACACCCACATTCATTCAAATACGATGGACCGGAAACACGTGAAACATCTTTGAGTTACGACAAAGCAACCAAAAAATTAACATTATCGTCCTCGATCAAAGGCTTGACTGTTTTGAAATCAACAGGATCGATGTTTTATGGCTATAATGTATGCGACTACACCACTTTGAAACCAACAAAGGACCGTATATTATCGACAGATGTTTCCTCAACGTGGACATTTGATTCGAAAAAAATCGGTTCGTTGAACGATATTATTCAAAGAGGACAAATCTTTGACAATGCATACAAAAAGGCTAGAGATGTAACTTTGGAATTATTTTGTACTGAAAACTCACCATCGGTTCAAGCTACAATGTACAATATGGCAGAAAAGATTTTGAAAAACGTTGATGAGATAGCTACTGTGACTTATGTTTTGCCTAATAAGCACTACATTTTGTTTGATTTGGGATGGAAGGGAATCAAGGAAAACAATGAATTATTTTATCCATCATCTGATCCAAATGGGTTGATCAAATGTACTGTTGGTAGAAAAGGTCAAAAGGCCAAATTGTAAAATGCCCCTGTCAACTCTAGATTTGTTAGTTTGTAATTTGCATTTAAATAAAAGAGTTAAAAAGAAATGAATAGGTTTCAGTTCTCAACTTAAGCCTCTGATCCAAAAGAGCATACACCCATTCGATTGATGAAAAATTTCTGTTTGGGTGCAAAATTCCCCTGTCAATTTTCTCTCATCTCGCGGCTCTCTAAGAGAAGTGAAAAATTGCAAGATGATCACACAAAAGAGAAGAAGCACTTTGAAGTTTGATAGGTCTGTATGTTTACTGGGGAAAATGTCATCTAGACAGGTCTTATTATCCGTTCTAGCGACGGCCGCTGTCACAGCAACTCTTGTAGAGGTATATCATGCTTATAGAAAACATACGAAACAGGAAAAGCCCTCTCCCACCATCACCACTGGGACCATCAGTGCACAGAACCAATATCCAGAAGAATTAATTCAAGAGCAATTGGCAAGAAACTATGCGTTTCTAACTGAAGAGGGTATGAGGAAAGTACGTAAACAAAGAATAGTGATAGTTGGTGCAGGTGGAGTGGGGTCATGGGTTGCTACGATGCTTGCACGATCGGGAGTTGAAAAATTGCGAATCATTGATTTTGACCAAGTTTCCTTGAGCTCATTGAATCGCCACTCTGTAGCCACATTGAAAGATGTCGGGATATCTAAGGTTGAATGCTTGAAAACACATTTGTTGGAAATCGTACCATGGATAGATATTGAAGTTTATAAAAAATTATGGAATTTGGAGCTGGCGGATGAATTAATTTTGGGTAATTCTTTTGAACCAACTTTTGTGGTTGATTGCATCGACAACTTGGATACAAAATGCGATTTGCTTACGTTTTGCTATCAAAAGAATATCCCTGTTGTTTCTTCGGGTGGTGCTGCTACAAAGTCCGACCCCACAAGAATTAATTTAGCTGATATTTCCAAAACTGAGGAAGATCCGCTCACAAAAAAGATTCGAGTCATTTTGAAGAAAAGAGGTATATTAGAAGGTATCCCAGTTGTTTTCTCAGCCGAAAAGCCTGATCCCCGTAAGGCGAAGTTGTTACCATTACCTGATGAAGAATTTGAAAAGGGACAAGTTGATCAATTATCCGCGCTTAAGGATTTCCGAGTAAGAATTCTTCCTGTCTTGGGAACAATGCCCGGTATGTTTGGGCTTGCGATAGCTACATATATATTAACCACAGTCTCAGGGTATCCCATGGAGCCAATAGAGGGTAAAAACAGATATAAAGTGTACGATGATTTAATAAAAAGCTTAGGTGCTCAACAATATCGGATAGGCGAAGAAGATCAAAGAATTCGAATTTCAACCCAGGACGCTAGCTACTTATTAGAAGAGGTCTTTAGAGGAAAATCACCAATTTCAAATCACTCATCAAGATTAACTTTAAGTAGATGGGACCCTTCAAAGGAGATTAGCTTGCAAAATGTTGTTATAATGACAAAAGAAGAACAAAGAGTCCACGAAAAAAGAGTTCTACTTGGAGGCGAATCCATAGAGAATGTATATTCAAAGCCTGTTCTTGATTTGGTAAAACAAAGACTCGAAGATGAGGCTTATTACTCGCAATTTCGATAAGAGAAGGCGCTTTCCACAAAATAGACGTACCCCCTCAACTATAGCAAATAGAAAAAGTTCTCTAATTTAGTAGCAAGGGTTTTGAATAGGCTGCGAAAAAGGATCTCAAATTTGGCAGAGAATAAAAGAACAATTTTTTTTTTCAGCCAAATACAATCCATCTTAACTCCCCGTTCTTTAACATTTCCAAAAACCCCCCCCCCCCCCCCCTCCTTTTCTCCTCTAGCGACGACTCAGGATACAATGTATTCTTATAATCCAATTAGACGAATTGGTTTTTGTCTAGGTCTTGGCCGTGCACCACCATCCAAGGTAGCCTCTTGTATCTTTCGTAGATTTCAATCTAGAGCACCACCATTAAAGAAGGCACCGCAGGGCATAAAAGCATTAATGAAAGAATACGGATACCCCGCACTTGGAGTATATTTTGCACTATCAATGGTTGATTTGCCGATATGCTATGTTCTTGTACATTCTCTAGGAAAGGAGAAGATTGAATATTATGAAAACAAAGTAAAGCAACAATTTGGGTATGGGATGAGTGATGATGAATTGGCCAAGAAACAGGAAATTGAGGAAATACAACTGAATATAGACAAACAGCAGCAACAACAGCAGCAGCAGCAACAACAACAACAACAACAAAAGGAGGAGCAATCAAAAAGCATGTTGGGTTTCTTAGCAAGTCAATTTTCATGGACTGAGTTTGTCATTGCTTATGGATTACACAAGAGTTTGATATTTATCAGATTGCCTATAACTGCAGCTATTACACCGGGGATAGTCAAAATCCTTAGACTGTGGGGTTTTAGAATTGGAACTGATAAGTTTAGCACCACTGCGAATCTTGCAAAAGATTTGGCTAAAAGTGGATATAAGGATATCACCGCAATGAATCCGAGATTTGGTAGTCGACCAGGGAAGAAAAAATGGTGGTGGTTCTTTTAAAGAATAGACATGTACTGTATTTGTATATATAAAAAACATTGAAAACTTTCAACTATCCTTTAGGACACTCTATTGTACTTTTTTGTTACATATATATCTGTATATGTATATAAATATGTGAAGTTTTTTCACTTCTCACCCACCCCAACACACGCTATCTCACTCAATCTATATCCCCAATACCTTCTTCATCCTTTCATATACAAAGAAAGAACAAGCCACCATAGGAACAACCTTCATATACCCAATACTTAACCCAATAAAGAACCCCCTGAATCCATTTTCTTTGTAAATCAATTTAGCAGTTTGTTTAAAGCTTAAGAAATTACCATTATTTATGGCTCCACCAACTTGCATTCTTCTTCTAATAACTTCAAAAGGGTATGCAGCAGTCTGAGAGAATAAGCCTGCTAGTCCTCCAGCAAATAATTGGGCGTGTGCCTTCAATGAAGCTCTTGATTCCCGTGTAGATTTCGTCTTTTGGTAAACGGAGTCGCCTCTTTTGGTCTGTGGTTGGACTGTGTATTTTGCCAAGTATTTACTGCGCAAAGCATCATGCAACAAATCATGAGTATAAAAACTCACACCAGCATAAGGAATCATCCCCAATATGGTTGGAGCAAACCCTCGATAAAAATTACTCACTTTTTGCACTCCCTTGGGCAAGAAATGTCTTGTTATTCGATACCACTCGGGATCGTTTTTTCTAATTGGCGGGTTTTCGTTGTATATCAATTTAACAATTTCCCATACTTTGCTACTGGGACGTTGATTTTGGCGACTGTGATGATGATGATGCGTATACAGGTAATGTGTAGGGTGTACTTTTAAATGCACTAGATTTTTAGTTTCAAATGCTAGTCTCACTCGCACCAAGTCCAAAGGGTATGTGAAAAACACTGAGGCTAATCCCGATAACGAACCAGCCATAAATCTCCTTCCTGCAGTTTCGTATAAATCATTGGGTATTAAAACTTGTCTTATTTGCTCATAAGCGACAAATTTAATTGCGGCATAAGGAAATATCCTTACTAATGTTATGGAGTGTCCTTGATAAAGGCCTCGGATTCCGTCGCTTTTCCAGATCCATTTGCCAGCATCGATCAATCCGTGAAATGTGCCTCGATATTTGATAAACTCGGGATTAGAAGTTTGGAAAAGGATCTTGATTCGATCTAGTGGCGCAACAAGAGTCTTGGCGCAGCACCCGGCCATACCTCCTGCTATACCCAGTAGCATCACATACTCCAAACTTTGTTTGTCTATGACTTTGATACTTTCCAAGGGAGTAGATTGGTCGTTAATGTAGTGACCTGGTTGTGGTTGTGATGATTGTATGTTGCCGCTACTTGTCACTGGCGGTGTCGGTACTCTCGATGTCATTAATATACCGTCATTCGGTACTCTCGATGTCATTAATATATCATTCAGTGCAGATGTCATTAACATACCGTCGTTCAGTGCAGATGTCATTAATATACCGTCGTTCAGTGCAGATTGTGTCAGTTTCGAGTGTGTTGCATTTCGTAGTATGGGGTTTTCTGACATTATCGACAATGAAAAACTTTGCAATCTGGGGTAAAGAAAAAATTTTGTTCTCTTCTCCTAATGAAGAAGGTCAGTTTCAGCTTCAAGCTTTGCTTATTGGAGCTTTAGGGGGAAAATATCAAGTGGGGAGGCAAGGAAACAAAAAGAGACAAATGAAAATGCTAGTATATAAACATGTAAAAACCTGCTGCTTCAAGTCGAAAACTCCCAGATATAACTGTACTCTATATCTTTATATCTCTGTGTATAGTTTCAAAGAATTAATTAACAATAATCTGACCCGTTTCGTGGTGGCTGAATTTTCTTCCTCTGGGCGTTTTCTTTCGTAGTAGAGTGTGGCCACTTGGTAGCTATAATAATAAGGCATTAAATACTTTTTCCGTATCTCGAGAGAGGGTAGAACAGGCGGATTATTGCAGAAAAAGCATTGGCAAAACAGGTTGAAAGGGTTATTGTCAAATAATAATAATGAATTACCAATCAGAGGATATGTATTGACACTATCGACACTATCGACACTATCGAGCGGAGCGAGATAGTGGAGCACGCTAACTGCCACCGACACTATCGACACTATCGACACTATCTCACTCTGCTCGATAGTGGAGCACACTAACTGCCACCGACACTATCGACACTATCTCACTCTGCTCGATAGTGGAGCACACTAACTGCCACCGACACTATCGACACTATCTCACTCTGCTCGATAGTGGAGCACACTAACTGCCACCGAGACTATCGACACTATCGAGCAACACTAGCTTCTTAAAACACTACTCTACTCTCTCTTCTCTTTCGATAGTGTCTACAAAGTGTTGCTCCACTATCGAGCAGTGCGAGACAGTGGAGCAGACTACACCGACACTAGTCCCTTTTGAAAACGCCATTATTTCCTGTAAAGTATACACTTTACTCTTTACACTTTATAGTTTCTGGTTCCACTTACACTTTACAGTTTCTTGTTCCACTTACACTTTACAGTTTTTGGTTTCTACTTACACTTTACAGTTTTTGGTTTTTACTTACCAGTTTCTAGTTTCTAGTTCCCGGTATTTAAACTTTGTGTTGTATTATATCAATGTTCCTTTTTCTTTTGTATTAATGAGCCGCAGGAAAAAAAAACAAATCCGGTAATTTTATTGTTTGTTTTTGTTTTTGTGGGGTAGAACTGAAATGCGATGAGGCATGAATTTTTGATACAACAATATTCATAGACGACCATTCCATACACACCAAGTTCACAACACGTGAGAAGACGGGTTATGTAAATGATAGTCCATCATCGAGCACACACTATCGAGCAAACACTATCAAGCAAACACTATCGAGCAGAAACTATCGAGCAGAAACTATCGAGCAGAAACTATCGAGCAGAAACTATCGAGCAGAAACTATCGAGCAGAAACTATCGAGCAGAGCGAGATAGTGAAGCAACACTTTGTACACATAATCTCGCTCTGCTAGATAGTGGAGCAACACTTTGTACACATAATCTCGCTCTGCTCGATAGTGGAGCAACACTTTGTACACATTATCTCGCTCTGCTCGATAGTGGAGCAACACTTTGTACACATTATCTCGCTCTGCTCGATAGTGGAGCAACACTTTGTACACATTATCTCGCTCTGCTCGATAGTGGAGCAACACTTTGTACACATTATCTCGCTCTGCTCGATAGTGGAGCAACACTTTGTACACATTATCTCGCTCTGCTCGATAGTGGAGCAACACTTTGTACACATTATTTTACATTTTTTATAGTCCGTTTCATTATATGTATGTATATGTAGATTTTTTTTTTTTAGATAGTAATAGTACAATACAAAAGATCTCAAAAATATTGGAATAATTGGACAGCTTCTTTAGCAAAATCAACAACATTGTCAAACAACAGCAATAATGATGATGATAATAATAATAATAAAAAAAAGTAAAACCAACAAGTACTGGCAAGACTTAACAACTAGCAACGTAACCTAGCTAAAACAAAGGTAAAATGGAATCCCCTTTTATATTTCATATATATATATAAAAAAAAAAGGAGGAAAAAAAAAAGGTAATCCAGTTATCCACATACATGCTAACGATGGTGATCAACTGGAGATGCACTGGTAGGAGGCCTATAACCGGATGTTCTATCTTTATGGTAACTAGAAGGCGATCTTCCTCTAATGACCAAAGGCGGAGATTCAACTGATCCTAATAGTATAGGCTGAATTTGTAAATCTTCATCTTCAACAATCCCCAATAATTCACAACTTAATGTGAAGTATCTAGCTGAAGTCAGGGTACTTTTAACTCTAATTGAACTTGTAAATTGTATTCTCTCAAAACGAGCCACCTTGGAAATTGAGTCACTAGGGTAATTTCTTAAAATTGATGAATCAGTTTGGCTGTTCAAATTATAATCATTATAATACTGATTTCTATCAAAAAAGAAAATCTTATTCATATGCTCAATTTTGCCACCATTACGCTTATTGCAACTTGCCCGAACGGTATCGTGGTCTGGCAAGTCTCCAGGTAACGCCGGGTATATAGGTGGAGGAAATTGTGGTCCTTTGTCTCTTTTTGCAGTATGTTGAATTAGTGAAATGGCAACATCATCATCGGAACATTTGGCAACTAATCTAATGGCAAAATAACTAATGTCTAATCTGGTTTCTCCTGCATGTTGGGAGTGATGAGGATGATGCGGATGGTTGTGTGGCTGGACAAGAGATGCAGGTTTGGACCCATTGTGTCCGTGTCCATTCATACCCTGGTTTTTTGATGAAGCATCGTATGTGTAAAACTTATTCTCCAAAAACCGATTAAAGTCCAAGTTTTGGAAATTGAAGGAAGCAACCAATGTGAAATAGTTACGCTTATACCCAATCCAAGTACCGGTTTCTCCCATTTCGAACCCACGATCTATTCTCGCATGCAACTGCGGCACGACCGGCATATCATTGGATTTTAGGTATATGTGTTGGTGTTGTTCCATCATACCAAATGGTGGTCCAATTCGGAATAAATCACTTGATCTAGGGGCAACTTTCCTAGTGGCATTTTCCATAATTTCATTTTGACTGGCTCTGGCTAGCATCTCCATGTGATGCTGTTGAGCTAATGAGTGCGCATCAATTGCACCTTGATCGTGTCCTTGTCCTTGTCCTTGTCCTCGCCCTTGTCCTTGTCCTTGCCCTTGCCCTTGTTGTTGTTGCTGTTGCTGAAGTTTTAATTGTTGTTCTTTTTGTTTCTTTGTTTGACGTGGCTGTCTGGTATTCCTTATCTGCTGGGCTTGTGCCTGTGCTTGTTGCTGCCCTTGGATTGACGGTTGCGGTGTAGCTTGTGGAGTATGATGAAGAGATTGAGCTATCGGGTTATGTGCAAGATGGTGAAGCTGCGGTGGCGCTATTGGCGCCGGAGCTTGAGTTGTAGGTATTTGATGACCTAGATGATGCAATTGTTGTTGTTGGGTTTGCAGCTGATATGCCATTGGGTTGAATTGGAGGTTAAGCTGCTCATGTGCATCGTGCCCCGTAGTGCTAGACATGGAATTAGTAGCACCCGGTAAATGAGGCAACATATGTTGTTGAGCTTGAGCTTGTGTATAATGTTGCTGTTGAGCATATGGATTTGGTGTTAACAACTGGTGATGCAACTGTTGATGGTGAAGTTGTTGCTGTTGTTGTTGTTGCTGCTGCTGCTGTTGTTGTTGTTGTTGTTGCTGATGATTTTGAACTCCATAATGTGTTAATGGAACACCTCCTTGAGTGGTAGCAGCAGCTGTCTGTTGGTAAGGTTGGGGAGTATGCAGTTGTGAATGAGACAAATGCAGCTGTTGCTGCTGTTGCTGTTGTTGCATAGAATAAGGATGAAACATTTGTTGCAGTTGAGGAAGTGTGTGCATTTGATGGAGGTGTTGCATATGTTGCTGTTGTGGAAGATGTGGTTGTGTGTGAACTCCATTTACATGAGCTGTTGACACCGGACCTAGCCTACTTGTATCATATAAATGAGAATTCTGAAGTGGTTGGTGCTGCTGCTGCGATAGTGGTGGTGGTGGTTGTGATTGACCAACAACGGTTCTGGAACGTTGACTAGTCACAGGTGTGCCTGCTGCTGAAAGTTGGTGCTGCAGCTGGTAATGTTGTTGATGTAACGAATCGTCGGCTTTTAATCCACCACGATGATGCATACCTCCTCCTACATTAACCGAAGAAGCGGCCTCACCAGCTGAAATAGCAGAATCTTCATTTGCCAAGGTCATCATCCTTTACCAACCTCCAAAAAAAAAAAAAGGCAGGCGGGGGGGGACAGTAGGTTTTGTATGTATCTATCTTTAGGGGGGAACAGTAGATTTTGTATGTATCTATCTTTAGGAAAAACTGTAGGTTTTGTATGTATATATCTTTAGCGGCAACTGTTTTTCACAACTCAGCGACGTTGTCCCTACTGTTGGTGCTATCCTTGGATGCTATAGTTGGTGATGGCTTTGGACACTATAGTTGCTTCTGTTCCTAACTGTTACCTGCAAAAAAAAAAACAGGCGGGGGGGGAACAGGTTTTGTATGTATATATCTCTAGCGGCAACTATTTTTCACAACTCAGCGACGTTGTCCCTACTGTTGGTGCTGTGCTTGCTTCTATTCCTAACCGTTGTTTTGGTTTGTTACTGAAAACTTTCACTGATAGAAGAAAAAAAAAAATCTAATGTTTAATTTTTCTTTGTGTTAAACAAATAGGAAAAAAACGATCAAAGAAAAAGGTAAAACAAAATGTCGAGGGCCCACAGACAAATCAGGGAAAATATGTGTAGGCTGGGTTATTTTCTATCGCTAAAAGTGACTTTAGCTAAATATATCTAATCCAAAAGATAACTTTTCTCTCTCTTTTGTCTTTCTCTCTCAAACTTTGTTGAAAGAAAGCTCTTTGTAAATTTTTGATCTGTGATGTCTCTGTCTCTTTCCCTGTAACTTTCTTTTTTTTTTTTTCTTTTAAAAATAAAAATAAAAAAAAAAAAAAAAAATTTGGTATTTGTGTCTTTGAGTCTGATGATTTTGGTCGTGCACCTTTGTTACCAAAGTGATGGGATTGATGAGATTGGTATAAGTATAAAAATAACAAAATAATCCACCAAACACAGGTGGGTGGGGAGGCTAGTGAGATAGTGGGTGGGAGGCTAGTGATAAAGAAAGAATTCTATTTGAATTGTTAACTGAATGGTGTAGATATTGTACAAAGGGGGGAAGGGGGGGGAGGGGAAGGGAGGGGGGTGTTTTGGTTATTTCTGATAGACTTGTGAGGAGGAGTTTGTATCTATCACTAATTTTTCAAAACTGAATTTAAGCTGGGTCTTAACCGGGTTCGGGTTCAGTTTGACTAGTAACTAGTGGCACGCGAGTTCAGGCTCGGTTATGTTTGACTAGTGACTAGTGACACACGGGTTTGATACTTGTGTCAGCTTTATCACTGATTTTCAAATAAAATCGATGTTGATTTTTTTTTTTCCCAGTTTCTTTGCAATCTATTCTCTTACTCCTACTTTTTTTTTTGCAAACACACGGGTTCAATAAATCGAGTGTTTATAGTAAAACACAAATCCGTGTGTCTATGTAAAAGATTGGTTTGATATTGTGTTTTTGCTGCTGGTAGATAGCAGTATACGTCAGTATGTGTCAGTAAGCGTCAGTAAGTATCAGTAGATTTTGTTGAAAAGAAAGAAAGTCAATATTAAAAAAATGAAAAGACAAATTTTTCACCTTGCTGGAAAAAAATGATTTTGTGAAGAGATTGGATGAGACAAATCACATAAATTTGCAGAGAGCATAACACCTACAGATTTTTTTTTTTTTTTTACATCAAGCATAACAAGTTTGGGAAAGGAAACATATGGAAAAGGCATTAAAAGTAATTACTTAGAAGACAAGATAATCTAGAGTTGACGATAATCAGAGTTGAAGTACAATTTGAGATGGCGCAGCCTTTTCTTTAATTTTGTTTCTCCAATTATTGATGGTTTTAAAATTGGAATCCTCATGTGAGATGTGTAAATCCAGCAAGTCGCATTTTCTAAGTCCTCTTGTACTTACTCACCTTTACCTCGGCAGAACAGGCTACTTGCAATAGAGACTGTAGCTACTCTTATTACCCTATTTCTACTTAACATCGCTGTGTGTTGTCTTTTGGTTTTGTCCATTGCGACAATCCAAAAAAAAAAAAAAAAAAAAAACGTATCTTTTTTTTTTTCAATTTTGTGCCAACGGCAAATAATTTGCAACTTTTACATTTCGGTTAATATGCTAAGTAAAATATAGAGGATGGGATGAGGCTAGAGAGGGAGAGAGAGAGAGAGAGAGAGAGAGAGAGAGTGTGTGTGTGTGTGTGTGTGTAGAAAATAGAGGACAAGTAGAAATTATGAAACACAGGGGGGGGACAAAAGCCAACAATACAACACGGGTTTTGTATTGAGAAAGATGAAACAGATTTGATTATTATCATGCTTTTTCTCCCACTTTTTCTTTCGTCTTTCCTGTTATACCTTCTTACCATCTTTTGCATTGTTGTACTGCCACAAAAAGTTAAAACCGATAGCGTTATTGAACTCTGAATTTCATTATAAGATGATTAACATTTACACTTTTGTGGTTAACATTAAAAATGCCGTTAAAAAAACTGAAAGAGCGCTTTTTCGTTTAACCGAAAAAGAAAAACCTTTTTTGTGTTGCATTTGTTTTAGTACATGGTCAAGTGTAGTATTATGTTACTACTACAACAATGGCATAGATCGCTTGTGTCTATGTAGTAAAGCAACTATCACAGCAACTACAAAATAAATCCATTTTTGTTTTGAGAGCTCAAATGTTGAAATAAAAAGGTACAATGGTAGAAGAGCAACGATTGATTTATTTTTTTCCCGTTTTGAAATTCCAGAGTTTTTGCATTAGATGCCTATTACGTTTTTTATCCATTTCCGTTAAGACTTACGTCAATCTTTAGTAGCATATGGAGGGGCAGACTAATTGAGATTTATTTCTAAGTTGAGGTTTTTCCAAGCAGATAGATTAATAGAGGTTTTTCCAAGCAGATAGATTAATAGAGGTTTATTTAAGCAGATTGTTTTAACATATGGAGGGGTAGATAGGTTTATTTCTAAGTAGATTGTCTTTTCACTTTTTTGATCCTCGGCAAATTCCTTTTATGGGAGGATTATGTGGTATCTAGCCTTACACTATTGTGTGGCTTGTAGTGGCTTATAACATTTTGAGCTTTTCTGGTTTAAAGTTTTTGAGGTTTGCAAAGATATCACCTATTATTCAGGAACCACTTGTATAGTCTACAAGTCTCAAAACTGATTAAACCGTAACTGTGTCTAGAACTGGAATTTGTAACAATTTGATACAAAAAAAAAAAAGAAAGCGAATTAGTTTAAAGAAGGCTCAATTACAGAAATTGACTAAATAAAAATAGATTTAGATAGTTTATAAATTGGTTTGTAGAAAAGCAATAGAAGGAAAAGCAATGGAAGGAACATTAATAGATTTAGATAGTTTATGAATTAGTTGGAAAAAGCAATAGAAGGAAATTAATAAAGGAAAGTCAATAAAGAAAAATTAATAGAAGAAAGTCAATAGAGGAAAATTAATAAGGAAAATTAATAAGGAAAATTGATAGCTTTAGAAACTCCCCCCACACAGATTTGAGTGGATTATAATCCACAACAATAACAGTAATTTTTATCAAACTATTTATTCTTAGAGTCTTGAATTGTGTAACCTAAAGACACAGGGCTATTAGAATGTCAACGAGATGTATTAAGCGCAATTTAAGCAATTTAAACGAGAACAATAAAAGTTGTAGAATTTTGAATAAACATTTGCAATCAAGCCCGTGTATAGAGTGACCTTTTTTGATGTCAAGCATGCATAGTGAGGAACATTTTGATTGTATCCGACACTAGCGAGCAAAGCGAGCTAGTGTCTCTAATCAGTGCTGCTCCACTATTGAGCAAAGCGAGCTAGTGTCTCTAATCAGTGCTGCTCCACTATTGAGCAAAGCGAGCTAGTGTCTCTAATCAGTGCTGCTCCACTATCTCGCTTTGGTCGATAGTGTCGTAACAAGCTACAAAATGTTGCTCGATAGTGTCGTAACAAGCTACAAGAGATTCTTCTTACAAGTACAACTCTATCCGTATTCGCATCTTTTCTCTACCCATCATTTACCATCACCTTTACACCAATCACAAACAGGTTTAATGCGTCTCCTCGAATGATAACCAATGCTTTTCTCGCATTGTCCCATTTGTCTTTTCGTTCGCGCTCTAGCTCTGCGCACTTGTCTCTGCTGCGCACAATAAGATTTACATCCTTTGCTTTCCTTTTGATAATTTCGCGCTCTGCACTTTGGTTTCTTGTCTCGTTTCTAAACAATAGTTTCTACACTTTTGAGGTTTCTACGCTCCTTTGCTTCTTATTTGATGGTTGAAAAATCGAATCGTTTAAATCAAAAACGAAAAAAAAAAAAAGCATCTCAAGTTTTTTCAGCTTATATTAATCGTCTTTCTGAATGAACGAATACTGAGCAAGGAAGCTGGTCTATTGAGTTGAAAAGAAGAGAAAAAGAGTGTTGACACAAGGTAATCTCATCTTGAAGAAGCAGAGGAAAAGAAACGGTAAACTAAGCTGGAAGGCAGAGAAACGGTAAACAAAGCTGGAAGGCAGAGAAACGGTAAACAAAGCTGGAAGGCAGAGAAACGGTAAACAAAGCTGGAAGGCAGAGAAACGGTAAACAAAGCTGGATAGGCAGAGAAACGGTAAACTAAGCTGGATAGGCAGAGAAACGGTAATCTAAGCTGGATAGGCAGAGAAACGGTAATCTAAGCTGGATAGGCAGAGGAACGATAAACTAAGCTGGAGAGGCAAAGTCACTTTCCGTTTCTTTCCCTTTCTAATGCATCAATCACCGACAAGTATCAAGAATTCAGGATCAACCATAGTATCCTCCGCCGCCACCTCGTCGTCCACATCTTCGTCATACATAAAATCATCGTTGACTGATACGCATGCTGCTCAAGCTGTATCTATACAACAACAACAACAACAACAACAACTGCTGCTGCTGCTGGTTGAACCGCAACTGCAAAGGTTAAGCAAGACTCGATTGCAACAATTACAATCGATTTCAGCTTCTTCGCAAACTACCTCATATCACCATCACTATTACCACCATTCGAACTTAAAGAGCAACGGGAACGGGAACGGAAACGGAAACGGAAACGGTGTTGAAAAGCTGCTGCACCATTATCAACACCCGACAAATGTAAATGAAATTTTATTTCAACTGAATAGCCAATCCTCAGCTATTGAGCATCACCATCATTACCACCACCATCATCATCATCATTCACCTTCTTCGCCATATTCCTTTTTCCCAACATCATCCAGCTTGAGGGATATCCTTTCCCTTGTGTTTGTCATGCTTGCACTACCACAATCATGCTCTTTGGTTTTCTGCATATTGTACTTGATGCTAGGCTCGGATTTCATGGATGGGAAATTCTTGATTAATTTCTTATTACCTCCTGAACATAAATCTGTTTATAAAGGATTCAAGACTTTATCAATTTCAGTATTGAAATTCACAATCATTGATTCAGTAATCTTTTTAACATTGACCAAAATCATCAAGAAGAAGAATTATTTCAATTACTTCATTTTCTTATCAAAATCAATAGTATCGAGCGAGTTGATCGGTTCATCTTCAATCAATTATATTACGTCCATTTCAAGCAAGAAAATTATGACTAAAGTCCAATATAATGATAAAAGTAAGTTGTTTTTTAATAATAATCTTGTTAATGCCTTTTTTTGCTTTATTATTATCAACTACGTCAATTATTTGTTAAACTGGTTTCACTTTACATCTGTCAATCTGGATTCCACACCTCATACTCATCCCCATCATATAACGTTTTTCCAAATCATCCAGGATAAGATACTACCAGCCAATATAGCATATATCAATACGTTCAATTTCAATGACTTAAAGATACAGGTTTATTTATTTTTATCGATACATATCATTTATCGAGCTATGTTTAGTAGGAAGTCAACTATAATGCAAAATTCAATACCCAATATTGCAGGTGAAGAAGTTACAGTGAATGCCGATCTGAATAGATTGTTAGATATTGAAATCAATATAGACCCAAAAAATAGTTCTATTACAAATTTTCAAAGCAATCGGAACTCAATAGCGTTTAAGAATTTTGAGAACTTCATAGTTTCGCCGTTTCAAAGTAAACTTACAAAACTAAAAAACAGAATGAGAGCATCTTCAGTGTCGAAACCAATTATTGCTTCGAAAAGCACTCCAAGTAACGTTTCTGCTGCTACTACTACTGTTGCATCGGCGACGGCGGCTACAACAGCTACAGCAGCAGCTACAGCAGCAGCAGCAAATACTACTACAACTACAACTACTACAACTACATCATCAACATCATCTGCTACTTCAAGGTCTTTAACAACTACCACAATCTCCCCCAATGTCACCATCATTGAAAACACAATTGTTGTACAGCCATTTTGGTCCATCATTGCTGCTTGTAAAGCCATGTTGAAGAAGTCTTATTTGTTTAATGGAGAGCCAACAAAGAAGAAAAGAAATCAAGTAAAAGCACGTCCAATTGTGCAAAAAGAACTCACACCCATGGCTGTAGTTGCAATTGACTCAAATAAAGTGGTTTTCAAAAATCTAACCCTGAAAATAGTTTTCGAGAATCTTTCCATAAAATTGAACAATATCAACTGGTCATATTTCAAGCATTTCACACATGAAGGTAGTTTCTTCATTGTTATTTATGGATTAACACCACTTTTCCAATATGAAGTAGAAATTTTCAACAATGACGAACTTGTCGACAATTTTCTCGTTAATACAACAAATGGAGAAGACGAGATAAGCAATCAGTCGTTAACAGAAACTTCCTCGTTGATTACATTACAAACATCGCTTGGTTCTACAATGGCCAAAATTGACAGTGTAAAACAAAAGTTAAAAAAGTACAAGAAGGATGAAAACAAAAAAATTGGCGATTTGAAAAACTCAATCGATTTACTAAAGAGCAAAATCTCAAAATATAACAATGCTAAACCGGTGAATGAAAATCGTGTATGTGGGAAAATTAAAGGGTTGAAGCACTCAGTTATACAATTGGAGAACGAAATAGAATGCATCAAAAATGAAATAGCCCAAGTTCAACAAGAAGAGAATCAGCTTCAAGAACAATTTACTATTCAACAAAACTCCCAAAATAAAGAAATTCAGTCATTGGAAAAAGAATATTTTGATCATGAGTCAAAGCTTAAAGATCTCAAGACTCAATTTTCTAAAACAAAACAAGAGTTAAACCAATGCTCCTTAAAACTTCAGAAGCTTCTCATGAAACAAACTTCAAAACAAGAAGAACTTAAACTTATTCAACAAGAATTCAAATATTTGAAAAAGAATGAAATTTTGAACAAGTTTACAAGAAGGATTAAACGGACAGCTGAAAAATTCGAAACTATTTTGCCCAATATTATCCAAGAAACAGAACTTTTGAAAATTGAATGTAGTGAATTGTTAGTCAATTGCAATGGTAACAATAATAGTGATGATGATGAAGAAGATGATGATTATGTACATGTATAAAGGTAAGGAAAGGAAAGGAAAAGAGAAGAAAGGAAAAGAATATTGTACCATAAACTGAATCTGTGGCTGCACTATCTTTGGCAACACACTCTAGCCTTTGTGCCCAACTCTGTTTTCTCCATACCTAATGCAATAGTCATGCAAACACATTTCCAAACTCCATATTTCACTTTCTATGGTCCGCATTTCTAAGGTCTTCCAGTATCCCCTCTCCAATCATATGAAACCCCCTATTGAAGTACAACAACCCACCGGATTTACCTCGGTTTCCGTTGTTTACAATCTGTAACACTTCAACAATCCAAATTTCATGTTGATCAACTTGGAAATTACGCTGACATTTGCATAACATGACCACTTCGGCCTCATTGAGCACAGGAACTTCCACTTTTGCCTCTAACATTTCCAAAAACTTGTAATCTTTATCCAATGTCAAATCGCGAAACGGCAACGTCATTTCGTGAAACACCTCGCCATCCTCCTCCACTTGTGCATCTTCGTCGGGTCTCCATTTCTTGCCCCTGGTGTCTACCTTGACGCCGCGGGCAAAGACTCGACTCAAATAAGCTCCTTGATGTGTAGGCGGCATCAAGTGAAGTGCCAAGTATCCATATTCATGTAAATTAACCGAAGTGTATGATGGTAAATGCAAATTAAATTGGAGTAATGGTCTAGGATAAACGGACAAGGAGCATACTGAGCCAAGTGTCATTCCATGCAACTGTGATCTCGGCAGTAAAGGTAGCGAGGTCGTGGCGGCGGTTGTTGTTGTTTCAGCATCTGGGGTATTACTCATAGGAATTGCTGATGTAAGTATCATTGCTGGAGAAGCCATTCGCGACATGGTTAGTCGAAATTGTTCAGCTACAACATTATGCAGATGGTATGATACACCTATAGTAATAGGCGATTGTCGAACATTTAAAGTGGTAAAGTGTCGTATAAACTGAATGCTTCGGGATACTGTCATGGAAAAAGTGTAAAAAAGCGTATAAAGTGTGTATTTTTGCCCTCTAATGTCGAAATTGGCACCAATAAGTTGTTACCAGTAACTCCGCTGTGCCTTATTTAATTACTCCCATACATTTTTTTTTTTATTTTTCACCTCGTAAACTTTTACGATGAGATACAAGAAGTCACGTGATATATATAGATGGAGAGACAAGCACCAACTCACTACTGGTTAGCAGATCTTCTGATTAACAGATCTTCTGATTAGCGGATCTTCTGATTAGCGGATCTTCTGATTAGCAGATCTTCTGATTAGCAGATCTTCTGATTAGCAAATCTTCTAATTTAGTAATCAATAGAGCTCTACTATAATACTCACTTGCTTTTTTCCCTTCTTCAAACGTATACTTTATATACAAACAACAAATATCAATAGGAGTGGTTGTGTTTTAAAAATAAATAGCTTTTGATACACGTAACGATTGAAAGTAGTTGAGGAACAACACAGTGTCGGTGTAGTCAGTGTGTGTTGCTACTCTCTACATACTGCTCCACTAGAGACCGAAGCGAGCTAGTGTCGCTACTCTCTACTCTCTACATACTGCTCCACTAGCTCGCTTCGCTCCCTAGTGTCGCTACTCTCCCTAGTGTTGCTACTTTCTACATACTGCTCCACTAGCTCGCTTCGCTCCCTGGTGTCGCTACTCTCCCTAGTGTTGCTACTTTCTACATACTGCTCCACTAGCTCGCTTCGCTCGCTAGTGTCGCGATAATCTCTTTGGAAAAATCATTATAATAATCCGTTGAGAACCTTTTCTCATCCCAATTGGGAAAAGTAATTGAAAAAATGACAAATGCGGTAATAATTCCTGGAAAAATAGAAAGATAAACTGAGATCTTTTTGTTCTACTTTCTATTTTATTTATTTTTTTTTTTATTTTTATTTTTATTTTTTTTGCTTTCACCCGCTCATCTTTTTTCGGCTGTGAGATCAAAGAACGCACGATATATTAGTTTGATGTCCTTCCTTTTTAAAAATAGAAATAAACATCAGGGAGAGCAGTTTTAAAGCCTGCATTTATTCTTTGCAATGTCTCTTTATAAATAGTATCATATCCTTTTCCTTTTTAATTGGGATATATATATGTATTCTTCTTCCTTTTTGACAGATATTTTTCTTCCTTCTTGATAAATATTCTTTTCAGTAATTTTAGAGAGAGTGAGAAGTTAATACAAATGTTTCAGGTTATACCATTGATACTCCTTTTATCGTCACCCTCATTGGTGATAGCAAAGGATGCCGTAGAACTACTACAATTTGACAATTTCGGGTACACAGGAGCATACTCTCCAGTTAGCGCTTTAAATGATATATATAGTGATGATTGCTCTTGTCAACTTTCACCAAACCAAGTGACATTTTCAGGTCCAAATACACCTTTAAATGAGGAAGTTAGTGTTCATTTTAGAGGCCCTTTAATATTAAGGAAATTCGCTTCTTATGTCTCTGATGGGTATGTTTATGGTGAGGATTCGTCAGGTAATTGGAATAGAAAAAGTTATTATGATTCAGAAAGCGGTACTAGTGAAAATATCACTTTCCTAACACGTGCTGGGAAAAACTCATCTTGTTTGGGTCTTGGGTTGACATATGCTGATAAAAGTGGTATAAAGGCTGCAAACTCCTCTACTGTGTTGGCCAAGGATTCACTAATCAACTCCAATGATGAGTTTGCCATTTTCACAAATATATCTTGTCAATCATCGGGGTTAAATAACGATTGTGGTGTCTATAGACCAGATATACCGGCATATCATGGATTTTACGGTACAACAAAAATGTTTTTATTTGAGTTTCAAATGCCTAATGAAACACACACTTCACCAGAAATTTCCAATTATAACATGCCTGCTATTTGGTTATTAAATGCACAAATTCCAAGAACTGCTCAATACTCACTAAATGTGAATTGTTCTTGTTGGAGATCTGGTTGTGGGGAATTTGATATCTTTGAGGTCAAGAACAAGACCGAGTATTTGCAATTGTCTTCAACTATACATGATTATCAAGGCACAGCTGATATAGAATCAGGATTAGCAATCAATGACTATATTGAAAGAAACTTGACTGGTACAATGATTGGTGGTGTCACCTTTGATTCGAAAGGAGTCGCTACTGTTTGGGTCTCGAATTCAACGTCCTTTAATGAAACTTTGGCTGCTTCTGATGTCAACTCATGGAATAAAGATGTTGCGGAAGCGCAAACTACTTCATTGGCGTCAGCGTCATTGGCAAGTAAAACAGATGGTGCATCAACAAGTTCATCACATTCAAAGAAGGGTGATGCTTTAGCTTATGAACCTTCAACTTTGATCAATGCAATTGCAGCATTCTTGGCAATGTGGGTAATATAGGCATCATAGATTTTCTTTTATTCGTATTTATCTTCTTTTTTTTTTTCTTTTTCTAACTGTTAAAGTCAATGTACGCAATGATGAGTTGTGACAACTCTGGATGGTTTGCAAACTCGATATACTTATCCTTTTTAAGTCCAAATATTGATTTGTCTATCTTCATATATCCATCTCCCCATTGGCTCAATGACTTGGAAGTGGTAGTAGTAAGTAAAATTCCGTCATTTCCTGTTGGAATCTCTGGTAACTTCTCTGATACCTCCTTAAATAATGAGTCGATTTTCTCCTTATACGAGTTTTCAATCATATCGGTGATATCAGGCGCAAGCTGGCTCTTCATCTGCAAAGACAATCCCAACGTTTCCATACGCAAAGGTTTGAAATGATAAGTCAATTTGGGCTTATCCTTTAGGTATTCAATTAATTGTTTGTTATTCACAATTAGTCGATGAGGCACATCACCTACATCTCGCCCGACAATTGGCGATAAGATGCAGCCATCGTCACTTTTGTCAACTGTCAAATTAATTCCACAACCCAAGGGTAGCACAGTTGTACGAGAATTTGCATAAGTTTGTGTTAACGCTTGTGCAAAAGCATTCGTATCTAGTGCCCTTCTATCGTAATTTTGAGTTTCAATAAATTTGTGTGAATGTTTTCTAGGTATGCCAAATAACCATCGAGATGGGTTTTTCAATAGTGGGCTCTGAAATAGTCGTTTCAATAATTGGTTTGAAGTAGAGGTTGGCGACATTGTGATTTGACAAACTAGTAGCTGTATTGAAGCTGTATAGTAGCTGTATTGTAGCTGTATAGTAGCTGTACACTCTAACAAGGCTCAGATATTAGTCAGTTTTGAAAAATTATCAATATTTCTACTCCATCAAAATAGCCCCAACTCAGTTAGATAAGATGGATGAGCTGGATCTTCAATTTAATTCAAAATTTTAGAGAAACCTACACTAATCAGCTTCCACAAACATCCAATACTATAGAACCTGGCCTCATCGCACCTTATGGAATTTTTCAGATAGAAAAATAAAAAAAAATAATGACGAATCCGAGGATTGAACTCGGGACCTTGATCGTTCTCATAGAAATGTGAAGATCACGTGATAAAACCACTACACTAATTCGCCACTAACTGTACTTAGAAAATTCTAGTCAATTTGTTATTACTACATTGTCCAATCACGTGTTAGTAGTTCATTGCAATTACACGTCTCGCTTTCTTACTTTATCTCCCTTTACCCTTCTTGCCCTTCAAGTGAAATGGCTGATTATGGCTGATTATGGTTGATCACTACTTGTTAAATAAGATTCACTTTAAAGTAATGTGCATTCTATAAATAAAAACCTTTCTCTCTATCATTCTCTCTCTCTCTATAAGCATAACAATAATAATAATAATAATAATAAACATAATAGTAATAATAGCAATAGTAACTAAGATCGCTCATTGATAAAATGAGCAATTGCGTTAAAGCCGTACTTGTTTTTGAAATCTCCAGCAATAGCTCGTTTAGCTCCCTTTTTCGAAGAGTAATCTAATGATTCAACATATACAACACCAGCATGGATTCCACCCGGTTCTGTATGGTATTCAATGTTCCCATTCTTATTCACCATATTATAGAAATCCTCAGAGCTATCTCTTAATACTTCTCGTTCTCCAACAATCATCATTGTATTTCCATTATTTATTGGTTCTACTTTGGCCCAGTGATCTTCCCAAGTAGTATTTGTAAAAGTTAAAAAGTTGTTAATAAATTTGCGATCATTTTTACCTGCATAAAAATCTCCCAAAGTTGTATCCCAGGATACAAGATCTCCCAATGTATTTACACCATGTCTTGTAGGGCGTTTTGGTCTAGTGCATGGTTGCACCCATGGTGCATCCAATATAAGTGCTTTTGGTTGTGGTAAAGAAGAAACACTAAAGTCCAATTTAAACTGAGGATAAGGTTCCAATTGTTGCTTAACTTCTTCTGGATATGCAATAGCTCGCGCTAGTGACAATGACATATGAGCACCTGCTGAGTCCCCTAATAACATAATGTTCTTATACCCAGCTTTGACTAGATTCTTATAACTTGTTAGACATTCGAATAATTGAGTTGGATATTCCTTGTCAAACATGGTTAACGAGTAGTCAACAATCAAAATTGAAGTCTTGGCTGCTGCTTTATTATCAAGAGCGTAATGCAATGCAGTAATAAACACAAATTGTGATTCAAACATATTTAGTAAATAGCCACCACCATGAAAATATATCACCACATTTGTTTCTTCTTTTGGTACTTCAGCTCTATGAATCCAGTAACTGTACTCATCGAATTTAATGCCAAAATTATTCAATTGTTTAGCCAATAAGTTTTTTTTGAATTTCTTGATAATATTTTCAATAGGCTGGTAAACCATTAGTCTCATATCCTCTTTGTGGTAGTTTCCTGCAACATATGACTCAATGGCTAGTAACACATTTTTGTATAAGGAATTCTTAAACTCTATATTTGTTTTTGAATATACAGTGCCAACAGTGTAATATTCCAAGACACATCTTAGAATAGGATAGGGCAAAGTTGCAATCTTGAGAGAGAATTCCAAGCTAAGCATAGTGATGGGAACTAATCTCTTTTAGTAGTAGAGGAAAAAGAAGCAAAGAGTCAAATGAATTGAAAAAAGAACCGTCAAAGAATTGTTAATAAAATTGTTGGTAAAACTGTCAAAGAATTATTAATAAAACTGTCAATTTTGATTGTTGATAAAACTGTCAAAATTGTTGATAAAAAACTTGGGCGGTTCAAGGAAAAGTATGTCAAAGGTGTGTGTCAAAGTGAAGTTATAATGATGAAAACTTGGGCGGTTCAAGGAAATAACAAAGCTATATAAATGAAGATATCCTGAAAAAAAGAAATACTAGAGGCGAGAACCTAGAGCGGAAGCATGTGGAGCCCAAAGTTAAGAGCCATAACGAAATATTCGGAAAGAGAATGCTTGCTTTAGTTAAAGCCATGTTTTTAAAAAAAATGCTTCTCTCCAGCAGGCTTAACTTGTCGGCTTTAAAAAAAACCCAAAAAAGGAAAAAAGAGTAGAAGGAAGAAGGAAGAAGGAAACGTGTAAAAGCAGGGAAGCGTGTAAAAGAAGGGAAGCGTGTAAAAGCGCTACACCTTAACTCAATTTGTCTCGAAATTATCAAACTGAAATTTAAATCTATTATTATATTGAAATTTGAATCTATTATCATACTTTACATTTTAAAGCTAAAGATAATATTATTTCTATTACTTCGTTTTGAGCCCAGTCGGTTTTCGTGCGCTCGGCACAAAATGAGAAAAATTTCCCGCACGTATTTAAGAAAGACGCGAATTCAAAAATCCATCGGATTTAAAAAAAAAACGGTCACAGTAATTCCAATTTAAAGATTTCTCGCTTCCTGGCTTTATTTATCGGAATCAATGGATTTAAATACAGATTAGGGAAAAGAAAAATATATATATATATACAAAGAGACACAAGGGGCTTGTGAGCGCGAATAAAAAGACGCCATTATGCGTGAGCACCATATATTTCTCAAGCTCGTTAATATATTCCTCCTCTACAAAACATATATACATATATAAGGTAATGTTGCCAATTCTATAATTTGAAGTTGGTGTTTGTGGATCAATTTGAGATTAATGTGGTGTAGGTCAATTCTTTTTAGTCTTGTTTGTAGGTCAATTGTTTGTAGGCCAATTTCATAATTTAAAGTTGGTTGGTGTTTGTGAAGCAATTGTCCTCTTCAAGTTTCCTTGAATATCTCTTAGCTCGCCCTTTTTACCGATAATTGTAACATTCTTTGCTTTAGATAAGGTATCGGTAACTTGATTATTTTTTATTTTCTTTTCCCCATCAGATTTAGGTTCTTGCAAAGTTCTTTGTCTCTTAAATTCTTCTCTTTGCTTAAAGTTTTTCATTTTTTTCCTCTTGTTGGCTCTTCTAAGCCTTTGTTTTTCATCACGATTTATTTCACTTTTTGAATAAGAAAGCCCAGATTTAAACTGTACTTCCGATTTCCACTGGGATCGCGGGTCATCACTAAAACCTTTCGCAGTCGCCGCCACTGCCGCGTCATCGCCGATTTTGTATATTTCTTGAGGCGCTAGTCTCGACTCGCTTGAAACGTTTAAAGGTTGTGCATCTTCCATACTAATAAGAGGAGCACTAGCATCAGTAACTTTGATTTCGATATCTTTAACTTGATGCGGTTTGGGAATAAAATGAGCCGAACAAAGTGCGTCGAGTTTGTGTGTAACCATTGTAAATAATTCACTAATCTCCTCGTGCTGTTTTTTTTCCTCCTCATTCAATGCGTCTCTTTGTGCATCTACTTGGTTGTATTCATCCTCATAAAGCTCAGCTAGTGATCTTGCCGATTTTTGTTCTGAAACCTCCACTTGTGGACCTTTGTGAAATTTAGACAAATCCTGGATTATTCTTCGAGGTAGGTCATTAAAATCATCGTTTTTAATCCTCTTTCTAATTAAATCCTCGATAGTTTCAGTTACCTCTTGAGTGATTGTAGGTACTGGTTTCGCTGTTCGGTCAAATGTTATTTCGTTTTCTTCTAAAAGCGACTCCTTTGGCCTCTCGTTCGATGTTACCTCACCTTTTAACGTCCATTTTTTCTCAGCAATCAACTCTGCCTCTAACTTGGCTATCTCTTTTTGTAATTCTCGCTGCTGCTTTTCAAATGTGGAGAGATTTTCACTAGTTTTTTTACCTTCATCCTTGTCCTCTTCTTCTGCAAACAAATCAAGTCTCACTGAGTCAATTGCTTTCTCATAATCCTCATCAGCAAAATCTTCAATCTCTTCTCCTTCTCCTTCTCCTTCTTCTGATTCCTTACTTTGCTGTTTCTTCCCCTTTCTATTCCCAGGCTTTTCGTAAAAATCATCGTAATAATCCATTTGCTCTTCTTCTTCATCATCCTCACTTTCGCCACTTAGACTTGCAAAATAATCAATCTCTTCTGAAGCATTTCCACTGTCTTCTTCATTTTCTAATGCAAGAACGTGTTTCTTGTATTGGTCAATATCGAAAAATCCATCATTAAGCCCAAATGCATCCTTTTTATGGTCTAGCTCGTTCTCCTCTGAGTCAGTGCCCAATTTTTCATTTTCTTCTTCTTCCTCCTCCTCTTCTTCTTCTTCATCTTCCTCTTCCTCTTCCTCTTCCACTTCCTCTTCCTCTTCCGCCACCTCCTCTTCCACTTCCTCTTCCTCTTCCGCCACCTCCTCTTCTTCTTCTCCTCCTTTCACCACCACCTCTTCTTCTTCTTCTTCTCCCCCTTCTCCTTCCTCCTCCTCTTCATCTTCCTCTTCCTCATCTCCCTCTTCATCTTCCACCTCCCCGATTTGGGCCCGCATTTTCGGAATTTCATCACGCAACAACCTCTTTCCTATCCCATCAAGCACAATCTTTGTTTGGCCAAAAACTTGTGTTGAGTCTAATCCATCTATATATACCTCATCCAACACTGAATACTTTGAAACTAATGGACTAATTATTGATTTAGTCAATTCATTAAACAAATTAACATTGGATTTAGTTTCCCCAGACTGAGGACTTCGAAGCTTAAAAATATCCTGTGGATTTTTTAGTAGATTCTGTAAAAAATCTTGACTCATTACCTGATAAAGAGGGCTCTTTGACCTGTTTCTACTTGCTAATTGATGGGTAAATTACATGCTCTAAGAAACCAAATTTTTCATTCTTGTGCGATGCGATGCGATGTGATGCGATGCGATGAGATAGGCGATGTCGCAAAAAACTGCGTGTCGCAAAAAAGAAAGAAAAAGAGACAAATTTGCGATAAAGATATTGTCTACTACTACTTTCTATAAACTTATACCCCCTGGCCCACTAAATCATTCCTGTTTTAATCTACTTCTGCCTTGCTGCCGAATACTATGGTAATAATCCTCCATATACTTTTCCTTGCTTCTATAATGGGCAAAATTACAACGTAAAAGAATGAAAGGAATAGCCAGATAATTATTATTATGACAACTCCATATAAAAAGTTGGCGCTGAAAACATATGGTGAAGCACCTAATGGAATTGGGATAACAAGTGTGAAAACAATTGCAAGAAGAGCAACAAGACCACAATATTTTTTAAACTGATGATCCAAATGTTTATGGTCGATTACTGCGTTTAAATCCATATCTAAGTCAGAATCTTGAGAAACCGATTCGATTTCAACTTGTTTCAATTCATCTTGTTTGTCTATTGATTTCAAATCTTTGTCACTAGCGCCGCTACTGCCGTTGTCGTTGTTGACGTTGAAGCTGATGCTGATGCTGTTACTGTTACTGTTACCGCTGCTTTCTACAGGTTCAATTTGATCCTTTTCTGTTTTTGAACTAGTCAAACTTGTCCTGTTTCTCGTCTCTTCAAAATCAAAATTAGCTGGCCAAATCAAAGATGCAGTGATTGAGATTATTCCACCCATTAATAATGCAGTGACATTACCCGTAAATGATACCCATTGCTGCGACAAATTCACAACATTGATCTCCCCCAAATAAGCTTTGCAAGTGACCAACCACGCGATAATGGCAAGAACCATGCCACCAACAGCACCACCAACAGCGCCTATTTTGTTTAAATCTTTCCACACGAATGATAATGCAATTGGAAAAACTCCAGCTCCTGTTGCACAGCCTAAAAAGTTGAATAGCCAGCCCATCGATATATGAGCAGCTCCATAGAAAATTGAAGCTAAGCAAGATGAAAAAATGGCCCATCCAAAAACACTAATCTTTGCAACTTTAACAACTTGATGTGGAGTAGCGTCTGGTTTGATGTAGCGTTTGTAAATATCATACGATATTAAAGTTGACGTACCGATTAACTCCCCCGAGAATGATGAAGTAACTGAAAAGAAAATCATAACTAATATCATAGCTGATCCCGAATTGCCCATCAAGTATATTGCCGCAGCTACTGGCGGCAAGCCTTCGCCAACTTCGGATTCTGATAGAGTTGGGAAATCAGGATACACGGTTAATGCTTTTGCTGCGAGTCCCAAGCTAGCCCCCATTGCAAATGGAATGACAAACCAACATATGGACGCAAAAAAGTACGCTCTTGAGGTAATTCTTGGATCTGCTGCAACTGCTCTTGACAAGTATGCTTGATCGTTAACCACTAATCCAAATCCAGTAATGATACTGATCACCGCAAAGATTGCACCTTGCTGTGATCTGAACGTGAGGTATGATCCATGGTAATTCTCTTCAACTGGTGGCAAGGACTCTAGCAACTCCCACATTTTCTTTGGAGATCCAATTTTATCATTTCCAAAATATACCTCCAACATGAAAACAACAATGAATAATAAAATAATACATGTGTGAGTTGCATCTGATATAAATGTTGCTCTTAGCCCTCCAAAGCTAACATAGACAGCACAACCAAATGGTATTAAGAACAACGCAGCATATTGACTTACACCGGTAACAGCATTGAAGACAGCAGAGCCACCGAGTAAGATGCATGAACTAACTATAGCATTGCATACAAAACCACACCAAAGGAAGCTCAAGTGACCAGCTTTGCCGAACCTGAAAAATGCCATCTCGGGAAACGTGGTGACTAAATTTGCATTTTTCTTGATTTTTGAGGAAACAACAGAAAACACACTAACTTGTAGTAAACCACCAATTGCATACCAGTAACTTCCACTAATGCCGATATCATAACTTTTCACAGCTGATTCCAATAAGGTTAAACTCCAAGTCCAGTTGGATAATATGCCACTTAACAATAACCCAAATCCAACAGATCTACTTCCTGATACAAACTCGTCTACTTTTTTTGAACTATATTTACTATACTTATTTTGTATAAAAGTAATGTAGTTCATTACTATAGCGAAGAATGCACCGCCCCCCACTATCAAACCATAGCCTGCTCCCTGTGATAATGATGGCTCCATCTTGGAAACTGATGAGTTTTTTGGGGGAAAAACAGAATAAGAAGAAAGAAGATAAATAAAGAGGAAAGAAGAGTTTTTTTGGTAAGATGTTTGTTATCTTTAAAAGACAAGTCATTTCAAGTTACTCAACAAACTTCTCCGCCTGATAAGTGTCTTGTCTGTGAGCCATAGCTTTCTACTTCATCTTTTTTTTTTCCCCATCCAATTAGAGTTCACTCCCGTTCCGACAGAGACGAAATTCCGAGCGTAGTTGCAATTTTTCCTAATTTGTTTTGTTCCTATCTTTCTTCCGTTGCATGGTTTAGACTTTTGATCTTTCACAGTTGGAAATTAATTGCGTCAATAACAGCAATTTTGGCAACTGTGGCTAAATCCGGGTTTTATGTCAAAAAAAAAAGAAATGCGGCTAAAACCGTTTTTTTTTGACATATAACCGGAAAAATAACAATTGGTTACACATAAACAAGAGAATAGATAAGAGAATAGACAAACAAGAGACTAAATAAGAGAATAGATAAGAGAATAGTGTTGGCCATTTTTTTCATATTGGGACGTGGATCAATTGCATCTAGTTTTCCAACTACTCATTTGCAAACTACTCACTGATGTTCGCAAGTGCTCCTATCCCTTCCCGCTCCCTTTCCCTACTATTTAGCAAACTCAATAAAGTCTCTGTGCAAAAACATGAGAGAGTGTATGTTTGCCTCTACTTGTTTCTTGATTGTCTTTGATGTTATCTATTGCGTCGCTGTTATTTAATAATTGTTCTATTCCTACTCTTCCTACTCTTACTCCTACTCCTCTTCTTCCTCTTCTTCCTCGCTGCTACTGTCTTCCTCGTCTTCCTCGCTACTGCTGTCGTCATCATCCTCTTCTTCCTCCTCCTCCTCCTCCTCCTCCTCCTCCTCGTCATCCTCCTCCTCGTCATCGTCATCATCCATATGACTTCCAGAACCACTATCCTCATCATCCTCTTCTTCAGGATTAACCTCTGACCATTCAACAAAATTCTTGCTAACAATTTTATTGCTCATTGGTAGAACAAGCGGGTCAAAGGGAAAATACGCTTCTAGGTCCAAGAACTCTTGTTTTTGTTTAAAGTTCCCCACAGCAGAGGGTAAAGTCACGGATGCATCAGTTTGTAAAAATCTTTCTCTTTTGTTATGTTCAATTATTGAATAACAGTAGCACACATTCAATTTCGTCGCCAATTTCGCAAAAATGTAAACTACTGTTTCATCGCAAAATTTCAATGGATTGAATTTGGCAATAATCACTCGTTGGAAGAATTTGTCTAGATCGCATTCCCATTCTGAGTCAGAAACGGCGTTTGAACTAGATTCCTGTTTGCGAAGTATTTCATGCCTAAAACAAAAAATGTACAATAGTGCTTGAAATGCGGAGTAAAATAATTTAAACCTCTCCATCCCGCCAGTAGCTCGAGGTTGTTGCTGTTGGTTTGACCTGCTGACATCATTAGATTCCATATCCAAGGTTTCTTTTTCCCTCTCGATTATATACTTATTCAACCAACCCATCAAGTAACTGACGATGAATACAATCTGATGACGAGACAACTTCCTTGCTCTAGCAATGTATGATGAAAGATACTGCATTGCTTTCAACCTCTTTTCTACAATTTCGTTTGGATTAAACGCCACATCAATGAGAAGAACCAAAAAGGAATCAGCTAATTCCTGTTGGTACTGTGTAATGTGAAATAATAGAAACTGAATCAGTTTGGTAAAATGCGTAGGCAAAATGTGACTTTTGAACAAAGAATTTATAGTGTTGAAAAGAGTGACCCCCTTACCTTCATTGATTTCTTTTTCTGTGAAGGATTCGGAAGTACTGGTTAATAATAAATGAACTATATTGTCTAGCTTCGACGATAAAATCTTGATGTTTTGCGTAGAGTTAGTTGGATCTACCCATTCTATCTCGCCCTCACTATTCTCGTCCAAAGAATCGTTATCATCTACCTTTTTAGCCATCTCTTCTCCACCTTCACCATTGCCTTTATTCTTTTTCGCTTCTTGTTCTTCTTCTTCTTCTTCTTCTTCTTCCTCTTCTTCTTCCTCTTCTTCTTCTTCTTCTTCTTCTTTTTCCTCCTCTTCTTGGAAATCATCAAGCAACTCAGCATCATCATCCCTGCTCGAAATCAATTGCTCTATTTCGTCATTATCTAAATCGTCCAACTCATTTTGTAACTCCACATCTAGCTTAATACAACACTCAATAATTAGCTGCCACACACTGAATTGTAACTCGGGGCTATATGTAACTACTTTCATCAAGTTCTGCACGTAACAAACCACTTCCGAGGTTGAAGATGAAAGATGATGGGGGAAATTACTTTGCAAAATCTGAGGAATGGAATTGATACTTGTTGGAATAAACTTAAGGATCTTGCGTAACACAACGTGATGACCAAACATTGAATCTTGATTTGGATCAAATTCGGCAAATTCTTGTACTATTTTGTTCAAAACCTCACTCAAAAATTTGGGCAAAGTACTTATCAACACGGTGAGGAAATGCGAATACAAGTCAACAAAGTTGGCGTATTCTTCTCTCTCAACGTTTTTCAAAGCCAACCACTTATATCGAAGAATGGCCAAGATCAAACTGTTGCATGCTCGGTTATCTAATTTTGATGTATTATGTATAAGTGCTTTTAACACTATACGAAAATGAGGAAGGGATATACTATCTGGACTTGTTATAGGTAGGATTATCTTGTCGGTCAAAGTGTCTATTTGCAACGAATCACCCTAAACATGAGAACAGTTAGTATGGTTACGAAAATGAAAAATGAAAAATGAAAAATGTTCCTTTACATACCTTCTCCAAACAGGAAAATGCAGATTTGACGTATTGGTAATATGCTTTGTCGGAGAGCTCTTCATCTGGTCCTCTCCCAATAGTTGTTGCTGCTGTTGCTGTTGCTGTTGTTGTTGTTGTTGTTGCTATAATCCTCGATGGTAATTTTTCACTTTTTGGCCTTTTTATCCGTATCTCGTCTATTGGAGTGGTATCCACTTCAACGTCTCTCTTTCTACTAATAGGATCGTGTAGTGACATTTTAGAACTAGTCTCATATAGTTTGGTATGTTTGTGCCTGTGTACTTGCCTGGCTGTACGTATATACGTTACTTCAATGATCAAAAGGAAAGGGGATTTGCAATGTATGATAAATTTGAGAAGAGAAGAGCTGAAAAAAAAAAAAAAAAATTTATCCCTTTAAGCCTCATTTATTTCCTAATTTGGAGTATGCATAGAAAAAGTTCAGAGATGGCGATGCCACACAAAAAGTTTGACGGTAAATGACTACGACTAATGAGACAACACCACAATTAGTGGAAACAACACCATAGTTTATAAACTATGGTGTTGATGCAATCAAACCCGTGTGTGCTAACTACAGTGTTTAAATATTGTGGTGCTACAGTGTTTGCAAAATAGAAATGAATCGTGTATTGCCAATTGCTAATTCTAATGTAGACAGAAAGTGGATTTAAATAGTTGACCAGTTGTATCACCTTCAAACCAACTCTGTGCCACGGATTTGGTTCCACTTGTGAATGGACGTTTCCTCTATAGATGTTGAGTTGAGATGTTGTTATTGTTTGTTTGTTTGTTTGTTTGTTTGTTTTTCACATAGTGTTTGTAACAAAGTATATCCTGTTATAGATAGAGGATATGTAGTAGTGCCATATGGTAGCATTGTATGCTCTTACAGGTTGGTTCTATATTATCATATGGTAGCGCTATATCTTTTCATGAAAACTTTCTTTTGTGAGCCATTTGCAAGGGGGTCTGGTCCATTTTCCTTGTTGTTCCTTCTTTATCATACAACAAATGTCGTTAGTAAATGCAACACGATTACGCTCCAAAGTGCTACTAAATATATCAGATATACTTGCGAGAAAGATTGACTCGGAATTCGGGGTTTTACTCGGGTTTGAGGATAACCGGGACTTGGTGGCTTTAACATCTTTTGAAATTGTTTCCGATGGGGTTTCTATAGATTACGAGTACCTATACAAGAGGTACAACCAGCTAAAACTCGTCTATCTACAATGCTCAATTATAGGGATATATCATATAAAAGATGGTTCAAGAGACCCCAATTCAGCCACAATCGCCATGTGTCAGCAAATTCAACAATTTTGTCAAAGCTATGATATTCAAATTGAAACTCCCTTCATAAGTATCATTTATAACAAGGGCATCGAGACGAATGACTTACCTTTTCATGCATACTTGACGAAAGCCGCTGTTTTGACGCCTATAGTTACAGTTGTTGATTTGAGCGAAACAGAAATCATAGCAGCCTCTACTATTGAAAATAATAAAAACTACTATATTGCCGATGGAAAAAAGCAGACAGATGAACTCGACATACGAAAACATATTGAACAAGTGTCAAAGACTCTAAAGACGTTGAATGAAAAAATGAGCGAATCCACTCAAGTCTCAATTTCTGACATAACATCAAAAGATCATTTATCAAAGATAATTGAACCCAACAAAAACCTAGTTGAGATTTCAAACAGATTGAATCAGCTTCGAAAGGCACACCAAGATCCAGCTACAGAGATTGCCAAAATATTGAAACTACAATCTACTCAATTGGCATTGTTGACAGAGCAAAAGATGGTATTAGAAATTGCACAGAGCCAGTCGGCAAAATTTTGGAGACCAAAGTAAAAAGAAAAAGAATACAACAAGGGGAAAACACAAAAAAAAACAATGGAAAAATGTGTGGGTGAGGGAGGAGAGGGAGAGGAGTGGATGCGAGTTTCAACTATGCTTGTGAGCTAGTTATGAAATGCATGTACGCGTCAAACCATATCATTGTGTGCTCTACTAGCTCGCATTGCTCGATAGTGTCAGATATATGTAAGAGAATGAAAAAAAAAAAAGGAAAGATAAGGATATCACACTCTTTCCCCCTCTCCATTGGAGTAGTAGAACTTGGTGAAAATCTTGTGCTGGAAATTAAAACTAATCTCTCCCCAGTAAATCCTTCTTACTAAATCAATCTCACACGATTAATACGGAAGTTTAGAGTGTAGCCGCACGCGCGCAGGCGATGGGTCCCTCAGTAGTATTGAAGAGAAATATTGGATGTTGAGTAAAGAAAAAAAAAAGTGCAAAAAAATATTGACACCTACGCGATTCGAACGCGTGCATCTTACGATACTAGAAACCTCAACAGCTCGTTAAAGCTGTAAGAACTTTTTGATGGTTCTTGAGTCTAGCGCCTTAGACCAACTCGGCCAAAGTGTCCTTGCTTGTTAACTTAATAACAAAAGAAAAATATTGACACCTACGCGATTCGAACGCGTGCATCTTACGATACTAGAAACCTCAACAGCTCGTTAAAGCTGTAAGAACTTTTTGATGGTTCTTGAGTCTAGCGCCTTAGACCAACTCGGCCAAAGTGTCTTTTCTTGTTACTTTGCTGACAATATGAAGTTGACACTAGACAAATATATTTCACGTGATGTAATAAAACTATTAAGCTCTCTACTTAAAGTCTATAGTTATTCACATTCACAAATATTGAAGAAATATAAAAAAAAAAACGATTTGACAATATAGAGTAGGAAAGATAGTATGGACATGACTGTGTAAACCCAGTTTATCTTTGGTGCCTTTTAGCTGCATAGCACTCACTACTACTTGATATTCTGTACACATTCATTGTGTTCCATATATTACTATAATGCCACTAAGTCGTAGCTTGCGTCTCTTTTTTGGATTTTTTTGATATAGTCAGCCCTGAGTTCTTGGTAGTATCTTTTAATCTAAGCATAAGAGCAAACATTCAGGTTGTTCTTTTGTTTACGTTCTTGATGACAAGTTCTTAATTTTTTTTTTTTTTTTTTTGCAGCAATTCTTTGCATGAATTTGGATACAAAAGTTTTACGCCATGTTCTATACTGACACTTTTTATGCTTGATTGGAAAATGCTCTCCTTTTATTCCATGCATGAAAAGTCACAAATAGACTACAAAGGGCTCAAGAAATATTAGATCAATCATCAAGGTCCATGGCACTGGGTTGAGTAAGAAAAGAATTGAAGCAGAAACGTACATTATATATACTCTCTACATTTGCGCCTAAACATTATCAAAATCTCACTCACTCACTCACCTACTCACTTATTCACCTACTCACTCTTCTTTTTTTTCTTTTCAGTTAAACATCTGACACTACGACTGATCTTTTTTTTTTTTTTTTAATTATAAGCTTGGTCACTTCAAAGAGAAGTGAAAAGTTTATAGTATGTATGGACCTTTTCTTTTCTTGTTCACCTCTACTTCGTTAAAACAGATAGAAGTCCTTGTAATACCACATCCAACCCAAACTCACACTACTAACAACCAATGGTCCAGCCAAACCTTTACCCAATTTGGTAGTACCATAGATCAACCACTCAGTCAAGAAATGCCAAGCAGCAATAACAAAAGTCAATTGAGTCAACTGATAAATTTGTGGTTGCGTGATATTATAAGCTCCATATAATCTAACCAATGAGGTTATCAATGTCCACGTACCAAAAGTTCTTGCTGACAAATTGGTAACTTGTTGTGGTTTGTTATTGTAAACTCTCTTGGTTAACGATAAATCTTTTTGGTACGATTGCACTGAGTTGAAAATTGAGACTATTGAAATAAATAAGAGCCAATAGGGAAGCTTACCCCCTCTCGTATATGGAAGGATGGATTCTATTCCAATTGGCATGGTTCTATGATACTAGTGCTTGTGTCCCAAGAGGATCAATTGAGTAAAAAGGTGGAATTGGGGAATCGGATGAGGAAATAGATTATAGTGCAATTTTTTTTATTCTCGCTACGATCGCGTTCACAGTATAGGAAGGTGCGTGAGTGAAGAAAAAATTTGTTTTTATAAGAAAGAGAAACAAAGAAAGAAAGAAAGCAAGCGTAACAATGTAAGGGTCAATATCAACGAATCTAGGAATTGATATATATATATATATATTTAATGATAGTTATAAAAGTGATTGATCAAGCCGTTGGGTCTTGAATCTTTGTAGGATCTCTATCCTTCAATACATCGACTACTGGTCCCAAAAGTCTCTGGAAACCAGATTTTCCTAATGTTGCTACAATGACATTATTTGTAGCTGTCACCGTGGCTTGTCTCGGCATTTCTTTGAGCAACGCGAGTTCACCGAAATAATCTCCCTTGGTTAATTTTTTGATATCGCCTAGTTTCTTATTAGAAACTTGACAAGTACCGCTCTCAATCAAGTAAAAATTTTCGCCTTGTTCACCCTCTCTCACAATAACATCACCTTCTTTATACATTTCTGTGCTTAAAGCGTCGGCTAATTTGGAGAGCTCGTGTTCACTCAACGATTTGAAAATGTCGATACTCTTGAGGAAATCCTCATACATCAACCTTCTATTGAAAGTTCCCTCTAGTAAGATTCGGCGGAAAGTTAATCTGTCCAATGCCCAGAGTGTGACATCGGTAGCTGCAATGGCTGTTGCGGCTCTCGGGGAGTTATACATCAATGCCAACTCGCCAAATGAGGAACCATCACTACCGGAATTAACTTTAGCATTATTGACGTAAAAGTCAACAGTTCCTGATTCTATTATGTAAAAAAAATCCCCTTCATCGCCTTGCGTGATTATTACAGAGTCCTTTTTAAAGTGTTTGGTTTGTAATGCAGAAATAACCGTTTTTTTGGAGTTCTCGTCCAATTGTTTGAAGAGGAAATTATTCTGAAAATTCTTAGCCAAGTTCTCTTCTTCTGTCAAAGATAAGTTATTCTGAGGAGGTTTCCAACTCTCTGTCTTTAATTTTGCTGGATTTAATGCCTCTGCAGAAACAGAGGTTCTCCTATTAGCATTGAAACTTATCGGGATTTTCTGGAAGGAGCTTGTGTTGATTTGTTGCGATTGTGGTTGTGGTTGTGGTTGCGATTGTGATTGTGATTGTGAAAGCGACCTTGATGGTTTTGATGATGGGTTTTGAGAATCCATCTCTTCTTTAGTAGGTGGCGCCTGCTCACTGCCTTCAAGATCGAAATTAGATTTAAACATACTATTGTCATCACCACCACCAACAGCATGAGATTTTTCTCCAACCAATACGTTCTCGTTATGAGTCAGATGTGGGTCCTTCAACACAAACGGTGATTTGAAACTTGGTTCTCTGTCACTCGTAGAATTGGACGAGTTTGTTTGAGCATTGATAGTGTCAACAGAGGGGAATAAGTTTATGCCTGCTGCTTGGGCTTTTGCATTTTGTGACCACAAGTAACTTCTTTGTCCTTGCAATTTATTGTTGAAGTAATTAGCGCAAAATTGTAAGACATCTTGAGGATTTTTTGCCAAAATCTCCTTTTGCAATTGAAACAATTCTTCTGATACAAGAGAGTTATTGTGGGACATTGAATTGATATATGAAGGGAGAAATAGGTGAAGGGACTTGCTAGGGGACTTGCTTAAGGACTTGCTTAAGGACTTGCTTGGGGTGACTTGCTTGGTGACTTCCTCGGGGGGTATTAAAAACTGATGATATGGGCGATTGAGTTACACCAGCTTCTATTGCGAAAAAATCAATGAATCAGAAATACGGACTATTCCAGTATTTAATGCTGATCAGTTAATTGCTTGCTCGAAAAGTCACTTGCTAGGTTAATTGCTCGATAGGTCTATCCTCGATAGGCTAATTGCTCAATAAGTCTATCCTCGGTAGGTCAAGTGCTCTATAAGTCACTTGCTAGATTAATTGCTCAATAAGTCAATCCTTGCTAGGTATGCTCAATAAGTTAATCCTTGCTAGGTATGCTCGATAAGTTAATCCTTGCTAGATATGCTCTATAAGTTAATCCTTGCTAGATATGCTCGATAAGTCAATCCTTGCTATAGGTTTGGGACGGGGGCGGTAGGGTATAACTCAATCCTTACTAGGTTGGGGCTCAATCCTTGCTAGGTTGGGGGGGGGGGGGGGGGGGGCTCTATACATTTCTCCTCCTGCCATCACTTTGTGATAATTTTCGACACGCTTTACACGACCCTCTTGCTCTTGTCGCAGAATGCATTTACATTTAAGACATTGCCTTAAACGCGCGACATTGAGAGTTGGTAAAAAGGACACGATCCCTTATAAGTTGACACGTCACAATTTTGTTTTCTTTTTCTTTTTTTTTTTTTTTTTTTTTTTTTTTTTCTTTTTTCTTTTTTTTGTTTTTTTTTTTTT